CTTCTACTAAAACCGTGTCGCCCCCGGCATCGACAAATCTCTACTTCGAGCCTCTGTCCGATCGTCCTACTCTTGGTAAGCCTAGCGAAGGACCATTCAAGAAACATAAGGTACTTCCGCATCCTAGAAATGGTCGACCTGAGTCAACAGCTAGGAATCGACATTCTCGTGACCTGTCTATCGATCCAACGTCGATCTTGGAGTCGCATATGAAAGAAGAAGAAGAGCCATCTGCTCCACCGAGCCTGAGCCACGACGAGAGTCCTAGCGTCAAAGCGCCTGGACTTGGTCTTGTTCTCCCTCCCACCCCACCGGCGCATTCGCGTACCTCATCCGGTAATCACTTGATCCAGCCCTCGAGTCCAACCTACGTCGGCACTCCGGTGCAAAATGCTGCCAACACCTCTGTGAGTACGACACCGAGAACTCCACCGCATCAAGCGAGCCCGCCTACTCCAGACGTCACCCCTCCCCAAGCCGAGCGTCAATCGAGACCTCCACGCCCCGTTCTGGCGGATCGCATTCCATCCAAGGCCACAGATTCTCGTACGGAGTCTTTCACAACAGCGCGAGAGAACTTGGATTCTTCAGAGGAAGATGACAAGTTGACGCCCCGAGCGGTATTGTCCTCAGCTAAGGCGGCTCAGATTGTAGCAAGACGTTTAATTGACGCACGGCAAAAGAAAACCCCGGACGTAGGGTTAGGATTAGGTCTCGAGTCGGACAACAATTTGACACCAAGGACGAAAGGAGAGTTTTCAGCTTTTGACGGTGAATGGGGATCTGCCAGCTCGATTGAGCAGGAATGGGACCATAAATATGAGAGGAATGTCAAAGTGGAGAAGCGACGTGTCCAAGCGAGAGTTAATGGGCCAAAAGCAGAAGTGGTCGAGGACATGACAGTGACTCCGACCAACGCAACAAAGGCTCTAAGGTCGATGCCCCTATCGGATCGATTGCATACGCATCCCTCACCACCGCTAGGATCTGCAAGCAAGGAAAAGGGTTGGACCGCACCATCTACTTCCGAGTCCTCGGTAAGCACCGATGTTAGGCGGTCCTCCGGCATGTCCTCAAAGTCTACGGCATCTACAGTGGTGGAAGCTATTTTGGTTGGAACGCCTCCCCAGAGGCGGAAAACGTTGCGACACGTCAGGAAGCAACCGGCCCTAAGGGATTCTGGCTCCGAGATTTCACCGTCAAGCTCTTCGGCGAATACATCGTTGAACACGTCGCTTCGCCAGACGGAAATTTCTCAGCGCGCAAGAGCTGCTAGGACGATAGTTGATGGTACTGTCCGGTCAGAAAGCCTTGCGTCTACAGGTACGGTCAACTCTATCGCTAGCCGTAAAGCTCGGCGGGAAGTATGGAAGAATGGAGGAATTCCTGTAGTGGTCATTCCTGACCGCAGAACTTCCATTAAGGCCACCGGGCCGACATCGCTTAGGTCTACGAGTAGTCACCACTCTAGGAGAAGCAATAGTCTTAGTTCAGCACCATTGTCAAGTTCTAAAGCGAAGGACCTGACGCCTTATTTTAACAAACCTCCCCGAAGGGGCAGATCGACATCGGAATCGGAAGTGTTAGTTCAGGTGGAAGAATTAACGATGGATTACCCCCCAATCGTTCCTATGCGTAGATCATCCCTTTCGGCCCCGACTAGTAGGAACGGATCTAGGGCTGGATCTCGAGCTGGATCTCGAGCTGGATCATTAACTGCAGAGAGCTTGAAGGCGCATGATGCTTTCTTAGAGCAGGAGAGCAAACAGCAGCAACAGCAGCAACAACGCCAATTACCTCAGGTTACAGTGGAACGTGCACCTCCCGTCAAATATATGAGCAGTCATCCCGATCAGAGACAACTTGAACCGGCTCCATCCGTCGAGTCACACAGGGATGCTCTTCACGACCACAAACCGCTTGTAGATAATTACGGAGACCCGTTCTTCGGCAAGCGCCTCACTGCGCACAACACCCCATTTTCCCAAGCATCCGTCGAGACAAACGGGACTCACTCTGCGGCAGACATATCGGAAGCCATGGCTGTGAATATTTACCCGCACCAAAACAAATCAGTTTTGATGGTTCATCATATGTCGAAACCCGTAGATCCTGCCCTCGCCGCAAACGCGTTACAAGGGCCAGAATGTGCCCAGACGGGATATGCTACGGAAACGGGGAAAGTCTTAGACAACCCTAAGATTATAGCTACTGGTCCTGATGATGTACCTGCGACGCCTCCCCAACACCAATTCTCGATGGATGATGTGGATTCACCTCTTAGAAATCCGCGTGCTCCCCCCGAACCGCCAACGATCAAGTTCATCCCAGCTACGCCATCTGGACTTACGCCTGCCGCCGAAAAAGAAAAGATGCTGGGTAATTACTTCGAGGAGACTCAAAGGCGACCTTCCTTGGTACGTCGCGCCTTTAGTCTTCGAAAGAGCGCCGACAATGTTCGTCCGTCTGGTTTCTTATCGCGGACTCTGTCTCTTTCAAAAGGAATTAAGAGAGAAACTGTAGAGAACTCAACGCCTGATAAGAATAGAGGTACTACAAGGCAGCCATACCCGACGGCCGAAGACCCGCCGCCTGATGAGTCAAAATTGCATCCATTCTGGCGACCTGGGTTTGATGATGACCTCGAAGAATACGACTACGACGATTGGGCACGTGACGTTCCTGCAGAAGTGGACACGCTTTACAGATATCCCCCGATTGACAATCGCCCGGCTCGTCGTAGGAGCTTGAGCGAACGAATGAAGCGTACATTCGCTATATTACCTATAGAAGACGAGGATCATTACACAGTCCCCACCCAGCGTAGTCCAGAACGTCGCACCGTCAAGCGCACACCGAGTGGCAGACTCCGCGTGATGAAACACCGTGATAGCTACAGCACTCTTGAGTGGAACAGCCGCCGCAATTCTCGTGACCATGAAGCTGAAGGTCGGCCGTCTACCGCACCCGACCAGCAGGCCCGGCGTGCCTGGGGCGTTGAGAAACGAGTCGACGACCGAGGGCGCAGACTCTTCCCTAACTGGCAGGATAAGCTAGAGCAGTACAGACCGCAGAACTTGCAGCGCAGATTAAGTGAACATCGCCGGCAGAAGCGCACGGAGGTTCTGCGGCAGAAAATAAGCGGACCGCGCGAAGTCCGAGATGGTGTGGGCGAAGTCATCAAACGCAACAGTTACAAGGGGCCTTCATATCAGACCACCTCCGCGCCGAACGGGAAGGCGAACGTGGCAATACACCACCAGCGGCACCAAACACAGGCGCATCAACACCGCAGATCCGTCTACATCTAATTTAAGAGTCGTGGACTTTTAAGAGGGTACAATCAAACGGCAACGAAGACAAATTCTCAATTAGTGGTCTATCACGCTTCTGCTATTGCCGTGCCATATTCTATCGTCTTTCTTACCCCCTAACCTCTACTACTAACACGAACGCCCCAATCAACAACACTAATAATGACGAACCTACTATTTACATTTTACGACGCATACGAGCCACGAAAAACACGACCCTATCATATCCCCCCCATATTACGATTTGAGACTTTGGACTTTGGCTGGTTACCCCTATTGATGACACGAAACTGGATGATTAAAAAAAGGACGAGATACAGGATTTTTTCCCTCCCTCTTCCAATAGCATGATGGGTTTGGGGATGGTTGGGGATCAAGGAGGGATGGATGGATGGATGGATGGATTGGGGAATGATGTTGATGGAATGTCTTGTTTTATTTTATTTTGCTATGCTACTACCCCCGTCTTGGAGCTAGGATTCCAGAGGAAAGATGATACGAAGACCTGAATAACAACTTGTTGAACAAGTGATGGTGAGTTTACCTCTTACTTTTTCCAAAACTTGGCCTTGGGTAGGCTTGTTTGGTGTTGTCTTTTTATAGTGTTTCTACGTGTTGTCATTTTCGTGTTGATCACGTCTACTCTTCTGTTACTGCTGATATGGTTATATTGCGAACGAAGTGAGGGGGGGATAGGTAGACATCATGGTCCTAACCACATATAACCAAGACCAAGAAAACAAATCACAAATTCATCCTATCGCATTATAACTTTATCGCGTCTCACAGTCTTGATAAGTGCCTTCAAATTGTCCTTAATATTTTCAATCCATTATGTCGATACGTATTCTGGTTTAGAATACAACGGCTGGTAACAGGGTATATCCGCCTGGGGAGGGAAAAAAACCACGAAGTAAACCAAACGAGACCTTGAGTCGGTCTTCCCTTATAACGCCTTGCCTTGCAACCAAGCTCCATTGACTCGAACACATTACCCAATTTCCTCCCCTTGCGTAATCCACCTGTCTTGCTCTCTACCGTCGTCTAATTGGACTATACAGTTTTCCCCCCTCAAGTGGCTAGGATGTTTCTGCTATGTGTCTATTTTGCGTGGGCGAACACAGACGAACACACTATTTGAGGGACTACTTCAATTTTTTTCGACAGTTGTCGTTTTGGCGGTTCTCCGATATAGATACCCGAATTCGTCCTCTCTTTTCCTCGTTATCTTCGAGAATATGGCTTATATCTCCGCTCCTTCTCTCGTCTAGGACTGGTAGTATTCCGAGATGCTCCTATTTCGGGGTTCGGCGGTAGTGATGGCAGTGGCGGTAGCGGTAGGGGCTGCTGCCGTTGACCTGAACCCCGTCCCTTACCGCCACTGATTCCCGCCTCTCGTCCTGTCCTGAGCCCCGAGGCGCGGTTCATGTCAGCACCAGCGCGGTCCTAACGGCCGGGCGCTCCCGGGGGAGGCGGGAAGCCGCCAGCCGCGCCGGGTGGCGAGGGTCCACCGGGAAAGCCTTGGCCTGGCGGGGGCATGCCGGGGAACGGGAAGGGAGGCGCGTTACCGGCTGCACCCGGAGGAGGGAATGGCAAGCCACCTGGCGGAGGAAATGGTAGACCGGCGCCTGGGGGTGGGATGGGTAGGCCGCCGGGACCGGCCGCGAAGGGAGGCGGTGGGAGTCCTCTACCACCTTGGCCTGGCGGAGCTGTCATGCACATGTTAGAATTTCAAGTCTCAACATATAGGAGTACGCGACAAAATGGGTGAAGGGAGTTACTTACGAGGCATACCCTGGGGAAACGCGCCGCCCGGCGGGGGTGGCATACCAGCAGGCATACCGGGGAAAGGCGGAGGCGGCATACCGCCGGGGAAGCTGAAGGGTGGCGGTGGCATTCCGGGGAACCCAGCTGCTGCTGCTGCCGCCGCGGCGCCGCCGGGTTGGTTTTGGGGCAGCATGGGGTTAGCGTGAGCCTGGCCTTCGGCGGCGTAGGAAGATGTGATGGAGTCGATGACGGACTGGGCCTTCTCGTGTCCAATTTGCTGGTAATAATCGACGACGTTTCGCAGGTGATTTCGACCGCTGTTGTGGGCCTTGCGCACGCTCATGGAGTCGTGCGTAAGGTAGACGTCGCAGTAGTCGCAGAAGACTGTTGATGGGAGTATTGTTAGCAATCGCGTCTCTAGAAGAGAGAGCATTCCAATATATAAGAAGGAATTGAAATAGGAGTTGTTTTGGTATACATACATTTCGGCATCTTGACGGTATAACCTGTATTACAATCTAGTGATAGTAAAGATTGGTGATGATGGTTGAAGGAAGAATGCGATTTAAATTTAGTTTGCCGCCGGACGTGGAAGAAAGCTAAAAGGTACTTCGTACTTCGTACACTAGTTAGTTATGTCTAGGTACATAGTTATGTACAAAAGCGAAAGGGAGCTTGGACGCGAAAAAAAAAAGAATGGAGACTCTACCTAGATGATGTCCTGGTAGCCTGGTCAATTGATGAGGCTAATTATGCACGTGACTCTTCAGCTGCAAGGCTATCGGAAAGCTAAGCTTTGAAGCATTTTATTGGATAAAACACTTGAACACGTTTTATTACGGAATACACAGTACAAAGTTACATGGACGCACCTAAATCCCTAAAGTTGTTAGCTTCCGGTAAGAGCCTCGAGACTCTTTCCTCCTTTCGCAAGACGAAGAAACAAGCCGACATACCCATACCCAATACACAATGGCCTTGCCACGAGGATTTCTGCAGTATATCTGCGGCCTCGTGCTCTTGATCGCATCCGTAAATGCTTTGAAATTCGACTTGGTGGCGCGTGGACCCAACGATAAGAAGACAGAACGATGCATACGGAATTTCGTGGCTAAGGACACTTTGGTTGTTGTCACTGCTACGGTCGGTGGAAGCAAGGGAGATGGCATGATTGTTAATATGCACGTATGTTTTATGGAAGGCCTTTTTATATATACCTATCGAAAGAGATATCCAGCAGATGCAGCTAACACCGAGTGTGAACGGAATGTAGATCGTGGATAACGTCGGCAACGAGTACGGCAAACCCAAAGATATAGTAGGCGAACAACGTACCGTATTCACCTCGCACGCGGACGCCGCCTTCGACGTATGCTTCGAAAACATCATGACGCATAGTACGTTTCTCCCCTTTCCCCCTTTCCCTAGTGTCTTTTCCTTCTACTCTACCAGTGTGAGTGAGCGAGGATAGGGCTAAGACAGCAACCCTCGAAAAGCTCTTAACCAATTCAAACCAGCGCGCATGAACAACCCCAGCCGACACGTAGAGCTGGACATCGACATCGGCGCCGACGCTAAGGACTGGTCCGCCATCCAAGCCACCGAGAAGCTTAAGCCCGTCGAGACGGACCTGCGCCGCATCGAGGAGACGATCGCCGATATTGTACGGGAGATGGAATACCTCAGGGCGAGAGAGCAGAAGCTGCGCGATACCAACGAGAGCACGAACACCCGTGTCAAGTGGTTCGGCATTGGCACCACATTGCTGCTAGTTGCGCTATGGGGCTGGCAGATCATGTACCTGCGCGCCTACTTCCGGTCGAAGCATTTGATTTAGGGGATTATCAACTTGAAGCGATTAAAGATAGTGCCTAGCTGGATCAGCTTTGGACTGAGACTACTCTAGACCCCCTTTACCTTAGTAATGCTTGGTCGTGGTAAAGGAGTCCCGGATTTTACAGAACTCGGGGGAAAGGAGGCGATAAGGGCGTGACGCGAATTCAGGAAGGAAAAAATGGATATGGTGTCATGAAATACGATGTTTCATGCTTTGTACTCATAAATATAAATCTGTATAGACGTCTCCTAACTAACGCCTTGGAGTCGGGAGACGAATAGAAAACAAATGATATGGCCATCTTTGCTATGATCAGAAGCGCATGTCTCGAGGCTAGAGGCTTGCTTTTTTTGTCTCTTTTCTTTTTGCGGCTCTATCTAAGCTTCGAAACGAGACGAGAAGGGGTCTCCATCCTTCAATGGCTATAAAATATAACTAATTAGTTGTGTTTTCTATTTTACGAAATCGTATAGTTAATGTAAATATCTCTTATTGTACTTACATATATGTACCTACATATATGTACCTAAGGTATGCATATGTGAAAGTGACATATATATATACGTAGTACCCGTGTACCGTAACGCAGATCAAATCGGAAAGCCCCGGCACTAGGCATGCCCATTATGCGCATAATAAATCTATTATACATTATTATACATATAATAAGTATTATACGCATAATACCTATAATATAATGTAATTATTAAATAATCACTAGTAATTTTTTTTTTTTTTAAAATACGTAATTTTAATTAATTTAAACAACATTTATTTTAACATAAAAAAATCGTAATTTAATTTAAAATGTTTTTTAAAAATAAAATTACATTTAATTAATTTGTTTTTATTGATTAAAATAACGCTAATTAAAAAAAGTTTATTTATAAACATTATATAAAAAAATTTTATTTTAAATTAAATTTAAATAATTTACGAAAATATTTAATTAATTACGTTTAATATTAAATTTATTTAATTTATTAAAAGTTTTATACATTTTTAAATAACTTATAATTTAAAAAAATCTTAACATATATATATAAATTAATTAAATTATAATAAATAAAATTACGTATATAAACCGTAAAAGCCGTATATTACGATAGTTTTACCTTTATTATATATAAAAAATAAAAAAATAAAAAACTATTTCATTTTATTAATCTTTTATTTAAACTTTTTAATCGTAAAGTTTTATTAAAAAGTTTATTAAATAAAGTTTATAAAAAATATTATATTAAAATTAAATAATTTATATAAAAATCAAAATACGTTAACGTTATATTTAACAGTTTTAATAATTTTATTAAACGTTAAATAATTAACGTTTTTATTTAATTATTTATTAAATTAACTTTTTATTAAAAAACAATTAATATAAATATTATATAATAAATTGTTACGAATTAAATAAAGTTATTTTTACTTTTATTATAAAATATAATTAATAATAATTTATTTAAAATTAACGTTATTAATAGTAATATTTGTAAAATAATGCGATTAATTTATCGTTAAATTAAACAACATTTTAAATTAAATTATATTATATACATTTTATATAATTTTTATAAATTATAACTTTTAATAAAAAACATCGTGGAAAATAAAGTTTAAAAGTTAATTTTAATTAAAGTTATTATTTTAATTATAACCTTTTAAACGTTTTTTTTATAATATATACACTTTTGTAAATTTATAATTAAATTATTAAATAAAGTTAAAAGTTTATTATAAACATATATAATTTATAATTATAATAAATTAATATTTAATTAACTTTTATTTATAATATAATTACATAATAAAATAATTAATAACGTTATTTAATTTTTTATTAAATTAATTAAATTACTTTTATTAACTTTTTATTATAACTTAATATTATATCCGAATTTAATTTAAACCGTAAAAAAAAAATTAAAAATATATATAATATTATAAACGATTAAAAATTTTAACGTTAATTTAACGGTTTAATATAAATCTTTAATTTAATTATAAAAGTATAAAAAACTTTAAAAATTAATATAATTAATTTAAATTACGTTATAATTTATTAAAATAAAATTTAAAAAAATTAAAATTATTTCCGTGTTATAAACGGTATTATATTATAAAAAGTTAATTAAAAATACTTTTAAAATACGTTATATATCCGTAAAATGAAATAAATAAATATAATAAATTAAATAATATAAACTTTAAATTTAATATTATTAAAAACAAAAGTTTTATATTTATAACTTTAATTAAACATATTGAAATTTATATTTAAATTTAAATTAATTAAAAATAAAAAAAATTTAAAACGAAAATTTTATAAATTTAAATTGTTTATTAAAATATTTAATTTTATTTTAAGTTTATATAAACTTAATATTAAACTTTAAAAATATTAAAGTATAATTTAAGTTTTAAATAATAAATTTACTTTTATTATAAAATATATTTTTTTAATAATTATTAATTTAATTCCGTTTAAACAAACGTTTTAAACTTATAATTATATTTAAAATATTAAATGCGTTTGTTTAAATTAAGTTAAAATTAATAAATTAACTTTTATTTATATAAATTTAAATATATTAAAAAAATTATAAAATAAAATGTTTTTAAAAGTTTTAAAATGTTTAAATAATAAAAAACTAAATAAAATAAATTTTAAAATTTAAGTTTAAACGGTAAATTAAAATTAAAATGGAAGTTAAAATGGAAAATTACAGTTAAATTAAATAATGCGTAATATTAAAAATTAAATTTAATTTAATTAAATTAAATCATTTAAAATTAAAATAATTTTAACCATAATGTTTCGATATTAAGTTTATTTTAATTAAATATTAACGTGCCGGATAAACGGGAATAATTAATTTGTTATGTGCATAATAAATCTATTATACGTTATTATATTTTATTATACGTTATTATACACTAGCCGTATAATAAAATTCGCATCCCTACCCGGCACACCCTTAGACCGGCCGTGTGGGAAGGGAACGGCCCTACTTCGTACGGCCTCGGCAATTTTCACATGATCCGCGAATTACAAAGCTTCAATTGACAAACCTCGAGCTTAAAGCTTTTAAGCTCCTCAAAACTTACGTCAACGACTCGTAAGAAACAACTTTCACCTGTTATCAATACAGTTTTCTTTAACATTCCAATTCCAATTCCAATTCCGATTTTGAGTTGGAATTTTAGTGTCCTGCGTTTTCGGATCGTCTGGCGCAAGTGGGATGTGAAGGAAAGGAAACCGTAAAACGACATTACATCACATATTACATTACATATATACCTACATATAAGAGACGAGATTCAAACCCGCAATGGCATCAGTAGCAGCAGTATCCTTGCCGCGCGCTATCCTGCGCTCGGCTCAGAGGCCCTCCGCTGCAGCTGCTCGACTCCTCTTGCTCCGCCGTCCACTAAGCAACACCCGTGCCGCGCGGGCCGATGTCTTTGCGCACAACCCGCCGCCCATGGAGCCGCACAAGCAGCGCGGCCCGCAACAAACCCAAGACATTGGAGTCGGTGAGCTCGAGGGCACTGAGTTCCGTGTTGAGCCAATGCGCCGGGCCGGCGAGGATGATGCTACTATCCGCGCCCGGCTAGTCTGTAAGTTGAACCTAACTATTTCCTATGTATATACATCCCTCCCTCTAAGAGATTATCTAGCTAACAAACCACCAAACAACAGACCAGAGCCGCAAGCGCGGAACCCTCGAATCAGACCTTCTACTCTCCACCTTTGCGGACGAGTACCTACCCACCATGACCCGCGAGCAGATGGAGCAGTACGACCGCTTCCTCGACGAAAACGACTGGGACATATACTACTGGGCCACGCAGGGCCCCCCCTCCAACAACAACACCTCCTCTTCTTCCGAGACACCCCCCTCCATAGCAACAGAAAACACCAGCTCCGCGGACTACGCCGGCGGTGCCGAGGCTGCTATCTCGGAAGCCACACCTCTAGACACTAACTCTTCGTCCAGTCCGGCAACTACCACTACAACCACCACCTCGGAGCACTTAACCACAGGCGGCGCCCCGCTCTCAGGCGACTCGTCCCAGAAGGAATCCGCGGCGGCGAGCGCTGCCGCCGCCGCATCGGCGGAGCCGTACCGCACGCAGGCCGAGACGGGCGAGTGGGCGCAGACCATAGGGACTTTTAAGCCGGCGTATCGGCCTGTGCCCGCGCGGTGGCGCGACAGTGAGGTGCTGCTATTACTGCGGGAGCATGTGAAGGCGCGGTCGAAGGAGAGGGGCGGTATGGCGTTTATGCCTTCGCTGCGATGAAGGGGATTTGGTGGACTTGCATGCACGCACTTCAAGGGAATAGTATGAAAATCATGCATGGCAGGTAAGGGTGCGTAACCTCCTTGCTGTGTGATTACTACGGAAGCTTTATGTATGATTATATATATTGTGCTGGGATGACAGGGAGCACGAGATAAAACGGAACGTATAAAAGTATATATGGTAGTGGGTGGTCTTGGCAGTGTACGATTCTGTGGGTTGGTGTTGAGGAATATACACATCATATATGCATACCTACCTAGGTACCTAGGTACACATGTGTATCCTAGAGCTGAATGAGACAGAAGTCTCAAAAATAAACATACTACTTAGGTGGTACTCTTGGCACATAATATAACGACTAGCTCATATTTCGAAGTGCTTACCAGACTTATATAAGGACTCTTCTAATTTAAATATAACCACTCAAACTTCTTCTACCATGATTGCTAGAGGGCATGTGTTAAAAGCTCGTTAAGCCATAGCTTTTAAAGATACCTTAACTAACTATATCCTCACGCCAAACTACTACCTCAAGAAAAGGCTCACCGGAGAGGAATCCGCTCACTCACTCAGCTACACGCAAAACCTTGGAAGCACCATTACTCAACAGTAAATGAATCATAAACAATCGAACAATACCAAATACTCAACACCCCCTTAATGCATCACCACCACCACCACCACCACCCATCCAACCAATAAATCTATCAAACAATCAAAGCACTAAATACCCACCTATCTCATCCCTCCATACGATACGATACGATACGATACGATACAACGTATTGCAAACCGGGGCAACGCAACGCAGCACAACGCAACGCAACGCAATGCAATGCAATGCAGTATCATTCATTATCTCATCTCGCAGACGCCGATCCCAGCCAGAGCTAGCTAGGCTACTAGTTTCGCTAGCTACACACGCACAGCTACCAGGCCCAGGTTAGCCGTAGCCATGCCATGCCATGCCATACAGAGAGTAAAACAGCACGAATAATAATAATGTCGATAAAAACGGAAAACGCCTTCCCGCCTCGTTCGAGTCGATGTGGTATCTTCCAAGCCGCAAACGCAAACCGCAAACGCAAATCATTTATGCCACCTATTTCCCTTGCCTATTCGATGACGAAAAAAAAAACCCCCCGGACGTGAGGACGTGAAAATTTGATAATCTGTTTTTTTCTTCTCTTTTTTACTGCTTTTCCATACACGCGTACGCGCTATATACGCGGCACAGGAAGTCGATCATGACCTAACCCCCTCCCCCGGTTTCTGGCGGCAATATCCTCCCTAGACTCCTTAGTACTTCCATAACTGGCATGTCTTTGGTTCCTGCACTCGCTCTCTCCTTCTCCTCACGTTCCTTTAACCTTGCCGCGCTGAGTGCTAGCACGCGGTCTGCTTGCAGTCCTCCTGTCTTTACCCGGTGCTCTAGTTTTTGCACGTTGTCGGACAGGTGGTCGATTCTAAAGTCGAGGGAGTTCTGGAGCGCTTGAAGTCGGGATTGGATCTTCTGCGGTTTTATGGCGGTTGACGGGTCGGTGATAGTGGCGAGAATTTGGGCCTCTTCGGAGTCGAGAAGGGAGGCGTCGGGTAATGGCAGTGATTGAGAGTTTGAATCTGATGACGGGAAGAGTGGTGGTAGTTCTGGAGGCGGTTGTTTTAAGGATTGCCATGCTCGCTTTTCTGCTTTTAATCTTCAACTTCCGTTAGTGGCTATAAACTCTAAGTCTCGTGAATGATGTATGAACATACCGTTTTACCCTCTCTTCTAACGCTACTATTTTTTCCTCGTGTTCGATATTTCGCGGGTTGGGCTTCACTATTGCCGGTGGTCGCGGTATTTCCTCTCGTGAAAACCAGTCTGAAAATTCCGATTTTGACGAAAAGTCTTTTAGTAGCTGGTCCTGAATCGCTCGGGCTGGGATATAAAAGTTAGCATATAGAACCAGTCAGGGGTACTACCGTTTTCTGGGGAAGTTTCTTACCTCCCAGAATCTCATTAGAATTCAAGGATCCTAACGGTGGTTTCTCTGACAGAGCTCGCTCTCCACACCACGTAAGGAGTTGCTTCATACGGCGTGGTTCCATCAGATCAGCTTCGATATGCTTGTAGAATTCGGCGGGATCGACTGCTTTATGCGGTATGGCGCTGTGGCCATTATCTATAAGCGAGCTTGCCCTTCTCCCACGCATACCCAAGCTACTCCTGCGAGCCCCCGTCTTCCTCCGCATTTCTTTGTTACGATTTATTATAGGCGTGTCGCTAAACGGGAGCGCGATCTTCTTGGAGTCTGATGCATTATCTCTGCCTTTTCCCTTGTGCTCATCCACAGGTGTTGACTGAATTGCCTCTTCTTGGACTTCCTCTTCTATCCGTTCTTTCTGCTTCTTAGAGACTCCATTTGTAACTTTTGCTGGTTCCTTTTCGGTCTTATCCACAGATGGGCGTCCTCTTTTCCTCGTAGTCCTTTGCGGTGGGGGTGGCGGAGGCGCCGGCGTTTGTACCTCATCTTGATCAGATGTTATCTGGGTTGACCTCCGTTTTGCATTTCTCCTGGGTGCTGGCTGAGCCGGTTGAACCGGTTGGACTGGGGGTGCTGGCTGTGGCTCGCGGTCCTTGTTCTGTTTTGGTCTTCCCCTTCTAGGTAATGGTATAGGTACGGGGGCCGGTGCTGGTGCCGGTGCCGGTGCCGGTTCGTCTTCAGGTATCGGCTCCGGCTGTGTCTTTGCTCGTTTAGATCCTCGCGTAAAATGAAAATCCCCATCCTGTTCATCATATGCTATAGATGATTATGTTAGTTAGGTATCCAACTATCCAACTACATTCTTCTAGGTCTCGTCCCCCGCCGGGACAAAAGGGGGGTACCCACAGGCAAGGCGCGAGCTCCTGCGACGCTTAGGCTGAGACTGATTGCTCATGCTCAGGGCTTGTAATGGCTGACGGGTCTGCACGAGAGTAGTCATGGACGCTGGAATAATCTGCGCATCGGTCTGGAGTGTTTTGGTCGGATAGAAAAAGGCTATGTCGCGCAAGTCGTGACGAGTGCTCGATCGGGCAATGGAAGATGATGGAGCGCGAAACAGCTGTTGTAACCGCGTCAATCGATTGGCGAAGGATTCAATTATATTTTAATTTATCTCGCGTAGTGTTAAAAACGTTGAGCATGGTATGTATAAATGTTGGTTTTCGTTTCGACGTCGTTCGTGGGCGGTTTATTCGGTTGAGGCGTTGCAGGGTGTGGGTGGTGATGAGGCGCGAAGTTGATCCTTCCACTTTCTCAATGTTTACAACTTTACATGAGTTATTGTGCACGGGCCAACAATCGACGCCAACGTTAGCCTTGCCGTGGCTCGCATGGTCCACTCAATTACTTCAATTATCCTCTATATGCATACTATGTATGTACCGAAAAGCTTATATTCTCAATTATATAATTACCTACCTAGGTACGTAAGGGAGTTATTAGCGCTAATACTCTACTTCAGGTACCTAGGTATTTACAACTCCAGTCTGCATTAACATCACTTCAAATCTCATCTTATTTTAAAGCAAACTCTCAAAATTATTCACTCGTCGTATATTTCTCCCCCGTCCCCCGGCCATGTAAAACCCAAAATATTCGCACTATAATAATCATTGATAATTGCGTCGTTTGTTAATAGCCTGCGTGTATCGGCTAGCTAATATAAGCGGTCGAAAATATGAAGACCAAGTAACTCCCGAGGAAGACGAAGATGGCCGAAAAGCCCTAGTTGCCGCTTGCATCCTCCTCAACGCCCCCCGAGAGATAGTATAATAAAGCAATTCCAACCCTCCCAGAACACCGTTTTTAATGTGTATGCCCAGCCAGATACGTACGTACATATATCAATATCAACCGACAACATGGCGAAGCTGTAGGCCTATACATCTTCGCAGCATTAGCTGCAGACGCGCCACAATGCAGCCATAACCTTAGCGCCCTATCGTGCTCTCATGACTATCGAATGTTATTACAGACATCAGAGTTAACAAGCGAGCGCCTCCCTAGCTAGGAACGCCCACTAAACCTCCCATGCCGCCAAGAGCAAGCGCGCCGAATATTTTCCCGACCTCCAGATGCCATTAAAGGGTGTTTAAAGATGATTAGCTAACTGCTTGATGGATGATGACCAAGATTTTGGAGCAACTGTTTGACTTTTACCACCCGAAACCTGTACTCTTGATCATCGTTGCCCGTGTTAGCATCCAGGTAGCTCTGGATAGACTTGGTCATGGGGAGCGGCCTCGTCATCCTATGAGAAGCGCCGCTGTACTCCTTGTCCTGCCATCACAGGTTGGTTCGGGATAGGTGCTGCCATGCCGTACGGGTTGATCTGCGGGTTGTAGGTCTCCATGGCTTGTTGCATAAATGCTCCGTGTAATCCTTGTTGCTGTGTAACCGGGCAGTCCTTATGAGCGAGTAACAAAGTCTTAAGGTTCACAACTTCTTCCCTCAGCTGAGAAATTTGCGCCGTCAAAGCGTCATTCTCACTACTAAACATTTCTACCTTATTTTGTAGATTGGCCAACCATTGCTTCTTACGTTGACGACATTTCAAAGCGGCAACCCTTGATAAATATTGTTAGCAAAGCATTTAGAGCGGTAGCATATACAAGTGGACATACCTATTACGTTCGAGGAAGTTCTTTCGCTTTTCCTCGTCGGTCATCTTCGACTTTGGGTGAGAACCATTAAGATCTTTCTCGTCGTCGTCTTCATCCGAAGAATTGTCGTTACTATTAATTGATGATGCCGTCTTAGGCTTCTTATTAACAGGCTGCTTGCCAGATGTATCATCAGCTTTACGTCGTCCGTTTGTAGCAGCAGCTCCAGCGCCACGTTTCCCCTTTCCTCTGTTACTCGGTTTTGTTTCATTCTCTTCCGAAATACCACTGGCCGCCTCGCTAACTCCTCTCATGGGGGAAGATGCCGTCGCACCATTTCCGTTCATGTGAGGAGAAGTAGTGGCTGTGGGTTGGGCTGGCGGCGGTGGAGCCGGGTGAGCATGAACCGGCTGGTTACCACCAACTGGATATTGTGTTTGAGTTCCATTTCGGCCCTGCGCACCTTGAGCTAGCATGAAAAGGCCATTAGCAGCATCATTATCATGAGGATCAAATGCGCCTGATGCTGGCTTAGTCTCGGTCTTAACTGTTGCTCCGTTTGTCTCCGCCGGCTGGGAGGTTGCGGGCTGGGGTTGCTGCTTGTCGCGGCTTGCCTTCGCCGCAGCTGCACTCATAGCGGTCCTATGGAAGTCCAGCGTGCTAGGAGTGGCAGCGCCACTTGCTAATTGAGCAAAGAGAGCTTGCGAGCTGGGACTTGGGGCAGGGAACATAGAACCACTCCCGCCCGGCGTCAGACCCGTCCGTAGAGAACTCTCGTTTGGGGTAAAACCACCGCGCAAGGTATGCGACGTATCACCAAAATAGTCATTCGCCGGGCCAGAAAGCATCGCTGGACTGAGCGGTCCCGTCCTAAGGGAGCCACCTCCCCAGTTGAACGGCGTGTTTCCGTTCCCGGGTAACAAGGACGACGGTGAGGTTAAGGCCGCCACACTGGGCAACTTGGTACCACCGGGGGTTTCAACCGTGCCACCCGTACCAAATGACTGCTCGAACGGATTAGGTTCGAGGCTCAAGTTACTCGAGAAGTAATCTTCGCCGGGCTTGGGCGGAGGCGCGAGCGGGCGACCAGGTTCGTTGTTGTGACTATTGGCGGCTCCCTCCGACTTGACTTCGGGTTTCTTGTCGCCGTTAGATTCTACAAATGACGATGAGTTGTTAGCAATGACGTCCGTGTGAGCGCATACCAATTGCACGCGCGGGGGGTTGATTGTTGTTTAAGCGACAACGGCACGGAAGCAATGACCGGTGGAGGTCGGTGCGAGAAACGGTTAACAATCGGCAAGCATACCTGACAAAGAATTATCGGACGATTTGGTTTCGGTCGGGGCCATTGTGACGACGATGACGAAGTCGTTTTTATGGCTCTGGGCGTGCAAATACGTAGGTGGGCGTTTGGGGGAAGAAATATGATGTAACGATACGCCTGACGCACCAACACTGACTTGGGTAGGCAGCTTGCAAAAGGAAAAATAAAAAATAAAAACGGCAAACTACCTCTGGGTGGGAATTAGGTGCGAGCGCGGGCCGCAACCTAGGGTATCGTGGCGATTAATTGATGAATGAGTGACGGTATAGGCTAGACTAGCAAGTTATCACGTAGTTTTTTACTACAAGGGGGGACCCGTTGTTGCTGTTGTGCTGTGTTTTGTGTGCGTATATTGGTATTGACGCAGATAGTTCGAAGTGATAAGTTGCAGGTGTGTCGAGGAGATGTTGGCGATGAGGTCATGAGGGAAGAAGTGACATAAGGGGTGGTTTTTGGGAGAAAAGGCAAGCACAGCAGACGTAAAAGCCCCCCGAAAAATGCTTGGAGCCGAAGGTGGACAAGGCCCGCACTAGACATGGATTGATCGTCCAATGGTTGTGTGGAAGGCGTGATCGAAGATCCCTAAGTACCCGTACAGTGCGGACACGCTAACTTATTCCCTGTCGCTCATGTTGTTAATGTTGTTTTAGCAGAATGCTATGCCTGCTAGGTTTATTAATAATTACATATATTTAGGTTTGTTTGGGTAGCCTGCTAGTATTTATGTAAAAACCAGCACTAAAAACACGTTATTCAAGCAGTCAACACCAGTCAAAGTTAAACCAAGTGTGGTACGTACGATACTGGAGATACTGAACAGAAGACGGTGATTCGTTCGGTTACTGTTCACTAGACGGGGTAAACCACTCCATTTGACCCGACGGACCCCAGCCCGAATCACAACGGCCTATCAATCTTACCTAGGATTGGACGTTAGGGAAAACATACGAGTTACTATGTAGGTACAGGTGGCATACCGTTTATTAACAAAAAACAAATTGGCTTTTTTTTTTTTCCCCGTGCTTGTTTCTGCGTAAAACTCCAGACTAGGTACTTATCGCTTTTTTAAATAAAAGCAATATAACATAATTATTAAATGATACCGTCATCGGTTCTTATCTTTAATATTTCCCTGTTTGCTAAAGTTTACACCAGTAATGTTATTCACTTTCAAAAACGAACAGAGTGTTAATAGGCGGTAGATAACAGTTCTGAATCCGAATGTAAACCGGCAGTGTGTATGTAGGTACTTGTCATAGTACATGCAATTACATGTATGGGCATGCGCAATTGGTTTGTAAGGATATATTCGAAGCAAACTTCTTAGCGCAAAGTGGGCATGGAGTTAAGGATGAAGATTTCAAGACTTTAATTACAAAGCAGACTTGTGAGATCGCAATCAAGGGCTAACAGAAAATTCGATAATATAGAAAATAAAAGCCAAGGAAAAGCAGGAGAGACCTTAAAAGGATGTCTTGATGGAGGCTCGAATTTCGATACCAGGGGAGAAAGACAAGAGTCTCGAGTCGTCCCGTCCCTCCCATACGTTACATACCTCCTACGTAACTAGTCTATGAAATACTTGACTCTCGAATTACGCTAGTTGAAATGCGGCAGGCCATCCACACTCATCCTACCCATACCAGAGCGTTTTGGGAGGTGGCGAAGAAAAAGAATTGCTGTTCTCCAGCCTTTCTTCGAATCAAATATCCCGGCTGAGATGCAATGCCCTTGTCGTATTTTACCTTTCTCATACGTGCCCCATTCGCGTCTGACAAATTGGAAAGCGACATTCGAGGGAGGCTCCGCGGGAGTGTACGTGTACGTACATGGAAGACGAAATGAAAGATTATTGGAACTGTCTAACTAGCCGATATATAAGTTATTTGATTAAATGCTTTTTTTTTATAGTTCACCTGTTTGGGAATATCTAATTCCGCAAACGCGACTTACAAGTTCAAATCAAACTTTTTTCATCCACGTTTTCTTTCCGCCTTCGCGTAGAATTTCGAGGATTAACGTTATGTCTCAGCGTCTCAAGGATAAGCCAGAAAAAAATTAGAAGGAAGTGTGGAAAGTGGTCAGGGCGGGAAATTCGCAACAAATTACGTCACTCCCTCCAAGTACCACGCCCAGTGTAAGTCAGCTCTTGGCAAACTGTATTCTTTTTTCTCTTCGCGTCTGTCTTCCCTCCTCCCGAACCACCCCCCCTGGCCTTCCCAACTTGGACGGACTTTGATAATACGTACCTTCGTACATTCAACCTAGAAGCCCGTTGCAACATTTCGTTATCTTAGTTCTTTCGTGATTGTTCCACTGCCCAGATCCAAGATCGTGGGTTGACTTATCACGCACATGGAGATCGCCTCATCTGTTATCAGAAGCCTACCTACCTATGTACATATCTACTAAACAAAAGCTCGAGCCAGCGCATACAATTCTTTCCATATTACATACGATCTTCGCATGGTTTCCTATTTTATTTTCAGCCTCTGTACAACAGATAGAATTTCTATTCCTGTCGCTTCTTATATTCCTACACGTGTGCATTAGTGAGATTCTTAAATTCTCTCCTCTTTTTGTTTGTGCAGTTGGCAGTTAGGAAGCCGTGCCTTCTGCAATGACGCAACTTTTACGGCATCAACCAAATGGGATTCCCCGCCCTGTCCGCCTCGTGTCACCACTGGAATCGAGGCGTCTACATAGTACATATGTATTTACCCCTCGAAATAAGGTGTACGATATGCAGTGTATAATACACTATGCATACTCCTGACTATGCATACTCCTGAGCTATACCCCTTTATCTAAAGTCTACCCGCTCTATTATTAATAACTTCACCACCACCAATATCTCGTTAGACCTGATAATCTTCTTTACTTCGTCTCACCCCAACATTTCGGCGCCAACCCGCCAACCCGCCAATCCGCCAAGATCGCATCCTAGATGCGCTTCGCTCTGCCGGTAATTCGCCTCACCTCCATCTCTCCCTCACCCTCACCCTCAGCTACGGTAGCATTTAAGTCATCACATAACGTCTAAATACATTAGTGTCACACTACGTACTACCGGTCTCCTCGGCAGTCAACTCCGGGTAAAGCTACTGTAAAGCCCATTCGGATATTGTCCATAAAAGGCCATCCAGATAATCAGATTTTGACCAGTGCAACCAATCAACTAAAGAAAGCTTAATTGGCGTTCTGTCGACTTGTCCCGAGTTGGAAATTTGAGACCCAGATGAGTTACCGAGTCAGGCTAACTAACAAAGCCAATTATATTGCCTAGCCTACGTAATATATTCAATAATGTAGACTGTTCTGTATTACGAAAATGTGAAGTTGTTTCTCAAGGACTACGGGACCGCCATTGCTTATATGGTACAATAGAGCCTCATTCCTACCTTGATGCCTTGTTCCTGTCTGTCTAGTGCCTAGCAACAGGTATCAATATATAGTTGAAGATCTCACCGGTCTATATAGAACAGTAAGTAACTTATAGCTTATATTGAAGTTGGAGTCTCCAGTCTGTATGTAACTCTACTACATGCAGCTGAACGAAACAAGCTTACCGGCATGCCAGTATTCATCTATTTCTAAATACGCACTTATAAATTATAAAGGTAGTTAACACGCGAAATAATGTAGTCCAGTAACTACCTTACTCGCATTAATAATATATCGTTCTTTGAGAGACATATGCGAGGCACCCTTTCTGTACTGTGATTGTACACCGGCGCGCACATTACCCAACTACTCACTTCTCGGCCGTGACCACTAAGGACTCCTTGATCCTAGTGAGCTCCCAAAGGATTAAAATCCTATCGATGACGTGGACCTGCCAGGCAGCTTATGCAGCTAGTCAAGAATAGGGAGACTATGCATAGTGCCCGCGTGGTCTCGCTTGATGCTCGTCCGGGCCATCGTTGGGTCTACCTCAGGATAGGGAGTGGGAAAAGAAAGGCATACTATCTGGCCTCTAGATATAAATCTAAGTTAGGCTCAGTTGGCTGAAAGTGTGAGTAGCTCGAAGAAGGACTACGTTGTACAGCTTATCCTACCTCTTTTGGATGCCTTGGCAATGCATTGACTCGCTTTCTACTTTTGTTGGATGCTGAGGTATCCTATTGTATGGGGAAACACAAAGTATGAAGATGAGGGCCTAACTCCTAGTATATTGATACGATAGTGACTTTTAACCCACACCCCTTCTAAAATAGGGGGAAGGGATGCCATCCTTATGTAAGGCTATGACCCAGCGATAACTCCCCCTATGGTGTTTTATTATCTCCTGATGACTTCTCATCGCCTACCTTGCTTCTATATCCTATTTATTTTTAGTGTATGGAGATATATGATGATGTTTTAGATAGCTAACGCACTACATGCTCATTCACGAATGTATGAACGCTTGCCGATTAGCACAATAGCTAGATACCTGTTTTTACCAGGTTAGAACATTGAAGTTACCGTTAGGTACCAGCTGGAGCGACGTAAATGGGGTCGGTGGCAATTATATCGGCAATCTCCCTCTTTAAAAATTGATTCCACGCGGTCTAGGAAGCATGGAACGACTTCGTCGTCCCACAAGAGACTCTAACCCACACTATAGAAGCCCACGGCTACATATACCGAGGGTATTATTTGCTCTAGATGCCTTATCTAGAATTTAACACTCCTTTCTATAATAATAATAGTTGGTCGTAAGGTAGGGTTATGTAACGATGGAGTACGACGGACGCATTCGGGGTTGCTCCTATCTTTCCGATAGTAAGTAGTTGATCGACTGGCCGGAATAGACGTCCAAGACAAGCTAATCGTCTTTCTGAAAATTCTAGCCGTAGGTCAGGAAATATGTACGCTTCGGTATACCAATGTCGACCAGTAGTAGTACCTAGTAGCAGTAATACCTAGTAATAATAGTAGTATGTTTTCGACATTGTAAACACAGTTGGAATAGCACAAGAGCTTTATAAGAAGCATTATTAAATCGGGCTATGTTCCTTTCCTCAAGTAATTACGAAAGTAGCTCTATTCACATATTCTTTTGGTCTTACCCATGTTGCTAGGTAGTTTTTTTCTCACATCCCTAAGTTGGGCAGCAGTTCTGATTAAGACACCGTGCATCAAAATCTCTTTTTTTTCGTTACGACTCGCGCTGATATTTATCGATTTCTCAGCGTTTAATTATATCAATTTAATACCTCATTCTCTCTTATACAATTCCATGGCAGCTAATAAGATTAATATACTTACCCCTACTTATATATTATAGTTAATTCACCATATTGACTATAAACATGCATATTGTTGAAGAAATATATCATGCCTCAAACAAGATATAATTAATACGTGTATACATATCTGATTGCAACACTGTTCGAGGCCTAAAAATATACGCGCCTAAGGCCCTATACACAAACCTTTCAGTTCCCAATTCCCATCTAGTTGGTTTAGGAACGCATAGCTATAAATTGTTTTATAGATGGCAAAAAGAATCGCAGAGCGAGATGGTAAATGACCCCACCAGGTAAGCACCATTGCTGTGAGTGTCTCGGTTTGTCGAGGCAAATATAGTTTTGAGCAGATTTTTACATTGGCTATAAGGTTCTGGACCATTAGTTATATATAGATAAACTCATGAGGGGTGGAATGGGGGTATTATAAGGGAATATTAAGAGGCATGTAGAAATATTACTTTACTATAAAAAGGTCCGCAACAAACTACAAAGCACAAAAGCTAATATATGTCGAATGATCCGGGACTCTGCCGCAGATTTAATTTTATACTCCGCTCCTACCTCTAGCCCCCCAATAGCCACCTCAAAAGACAACAACTTCACCAAACGCACCCCCACCCATAACCTTATGCCTGCTTCTAATATGATAAATGATTAGAAATACACCAAGAGCTACGGTTAGTGATGCGGGATATCAAGGAGTTTCGATGCTGTCGGAATAGACCAATCGAGAGACTAACCTTGATATTCTTCTTCTATTCGTACTGTTGTTAGTACTTCCCATACAATGATCCAACGGATTGGGAAGACGTTACAAGCTCTTCCAATTCAGCCTAATATTCATTTAGTTCGCTACGCTATTTAGAATGGAATGAGTTTTAATGGCTCACCTTCACCTTGATCATTTCCGGCTACGAAAAAAAAAACGAAGTTAGTATATTTATATGTTAAGTTTGGGGGATGATATTACTAACCGACTCGTCGGTAGCGTCCTGTGCTGAAATTAGCATAGGTGCTATAGTCTTCTAAGGGTATATCTTACAGCCATTTTCGTTTCAAGCTCCTATAATAGTTAGCATATATTAAGATATACTGAGACGAAAATAGAAGGATGTAATAACCATCACCTCGGTGAGGATACCCTGTTAAAACATTAGCCATATTATTAGGAATTTTAAGCTGCACCATGTTCATTACCTTCACCGTCTCTTCTAGCTTCTAAATGGTTCAACATTAGCCATAATCGACATTAGACAAAGCTAATAACATACCGCAATCTTCCCCCGAATATTCTTCATAGTGAGTGATTAGCATATAGATACCAGGAGATAAGTACTTTCATGTGGGCAGTTATATACTTACGACAAATTCTTTCATTTTTTTCTAGTAACTAGGTTTAGTTGCTATTTGGTTTTATGATGGAAGAGATTCGTTTACATCAATCTCCTGGGCGTACCACTGGTGGGGTGTCAATATAAGTATCAGTGATTAGATATATATAAACATACGGCCTTCGTCCCCTTCTATAGGTAAAGTTAGCAATTTGGGTTTCAAGTGGAATGGTACGCTGCATACCTCTGGTTGCTGAACGGCCGGCTGCGCGGCCGGGGCCGGGGCCGGGGCTGCTCGGTTCGCCTGGGATGTCAGACAGTTAGTATTTTAGTGGTTTTATGAGCTGCCCCTGGATCCGAAAATAGATTACCGGGCGCTGGTATCTCCGCTAAAAAATTAGTACTTATAGAGAGGAAAGAGTATTCAGAACACCCTAATGTAAGGAACACTTACGCGGCCTCCAGAGTGCTAATTTGAAAACGGGTAGGTTAGTATCAGAAATTGGAAAAGTATTCTTCATAACATAGAATTTGTCGATGCACTAACACCACGAGGCTATACGTAGGTAGATATTAGAAAGAGGAACCATAGAGTTGTAGAATAGGACGGCGCTCACATATGACACCATTTTTATCTGCTTGAGCATTAGCCATCGTACATTGCAGAAGTATAAGCACAAGCACCCGCTATTCAATGGTTGTTACCTATGACTCAAGGTATCTGGTTTGTATGTCAATCTATTTTCTCTCTAGATTGAGGGACTATGGTGCTCGGTAGGTAGTTGGTTATGTATAGAATGGCGATTTGAGATGTGGTTGAAAGGGGAAATTCATTTAAGTTCTAAGACTCCATACATGCCTTAGTATAAGGTAAGTCCTCTCCAGCAAGGTTTCAGACAAATATATTTACCATTGAATAACACTTGCTCTTGCCTACCTCTACGTAAGTTTAGGTACCTAGGTAGGTACAAGTATGTCGCTTCCGAACTCTTCAATTACTATTACGTCAGGTAGTTTTTTTTCTCTTCTTCGAAAGTTTTTTCTTCTCCTTAAAACACAGCAATTGGATGGCTTGCAGTCAAATACAAGCGGTGGGTTCGACTCCCGCTGCTATGAGGGCAAGTCTGATATACATCGATCAATGGGCTTATGTATGCTACGATTCTATATGAGTTATCTGTAACAAAGATGCTCTTAGCATGTATAGTCACCGGCCTCCGTAGCGTAGGTTTAGGTTTCCTTGCAGGACAATGATGTTGTTTACATATCTTCTAGGTCCACTTTGTCATGATACACGCTTCATAATTACCACTAGTTATACTGATTTCGTAGAACAAATTCGAAGTATGGTATTCTTACTTGCGAGGGAAGAGGTATATTGTTAAGCAGAAGGGTGTGTCTACTAACAGGGTCTTGATAGCAACCACAATATGTGAACCTATTGTTGTTGCTACGCACGTCAAAAGCTTGAACGACCTTCTTACCCCGTAAAGTGCTTATATACCGTACTGACAGCTATCTTCCACATCTCCAGTCTTTTTCGTGAAACAATTCCCCAAGCGCCCCGTCCTTCGAAACGCCGCCGACGAGAGTTACGAATCAAGTTCTGCGATACTACCGAGACCCACAACGCCCCCAAACCAACCCAGCTTACAACCGTATCCTTCGAGCCCCAAGACGCAGATGGATTAGGTACATGTAAACAGTAAACCCCAGAGCCCGGGTTTCTGTGCCGCTTATAGGGTGGTCTCCTGTGTGTCTGGCCTGGCTTGCACTGGCTTGGCCTGAACTGCTGTCAGCGAGTTCCACGAGTCAGGTCAGGCCAGATAATCGTATATACCTGGCTCGATACAAGTCAGGCCAGATATGTTAGGTTTGAGGCTTACCTAGCCGTATCGTCGACTTGGCCTGTATGCCCTTATAAAGCCACACTTAGGCATATCAGCCACCTAATATATTTCACCCAAAACCCTTACCAACAACCAATAATATTGCCCTAAAGATATTCATATAAAATACCGAAAAAAAAATTTGGCGCTCGGCTCGGATAGATATCCCTAAAAAAGGATCTACCCAGGCTAAGTCAGGCCAGGCTAAGTCAGGCCAGGCCCAAGTCAGGTCAAGCTATTATCTGACTCGTGGAACTCGCAGTCTGCTGTTAGGGTTGTTTTTTCTGGTATGCATGCTAACACGCCAATTTCAGGTGCGTCCCAGGGCGGATCATCTGTAAAAATTTCCTCCCACGGTTCAATATATCCCATATTCATGGCGTATTCTGCTTGTCTATCCTGTATTACATGTAGGAATTCATATATCGGATTTTCAGGTTTATCATGATCCCAGACCCATTTTTCCTTACTCCAGGTCCATGTGTACTTATCCATTGTTGTTATGACCTCAACGTATTTGCAACCTCTACCTTGGAAGACTGTGTGCTTGTCAAGATCCTGTAAAATATTGTCCTCAATGTCGAGCTTGGGACGTATGCGGTAGTCGATAAACCACAACTTGCTAGCCCATCTCCCAAGCTCCCCGGTGGTCGCTTCGAAGGCGAGTTCGTACTTGAACCCTTGCTCATCAGTTTGAGGGTTCATCCACATGGGATCAAACTCAAGAGCAATATGTGGCTTAGGTGATCCTTGCTGGTTGAATATCGGCACATTCTTCTCAAATGTCTCCCAGGATCCACATGCATTGAGAGACTGCAGGCAAAATAGATCAGTTTTTGGACAGACGGTAAAGTACTGCCTTTTTCCGTCTTGCACCATGGTGCCTGTAGCAGATGCATCGTTAGTTTCCTCGTTCGGCTTCAGGTATTCTGACGAGGCCCGCTCGTTAAGTCGTTTCTGGTAAGTGACCTTGTGGTTTCCAAAGCGTCTAATCATTGCTTCTCGAGACTCTTTACAAGCTGTCCATAGCCCGCTATCTTCCATATATACCGAAGGATTGTTTTCAAACCAAGACAGGCGATCCGGTTCTGCTATGTTACAGCGTGGAGCGGCCAGGCTGCATAGCTCGTCGGGGTGCTCCCCTCGACCGGCCACTGCGCATTCGACTATGGTTGGTGGGTCTGGTCCATATGTTCCGTGCCAAGCTGTGAAGAAATGGACTGATGGGACATCTGGCCGAATTGCTGCATCCCATATCTGATCTCTAAGTTCCCTTGGTAGTAGGGAGAAGTGGCGGAACGTCGTGGGAGGCATGATTAAATGCTGGTCTGTCGAAGCCGTGTATTGGTGGTCGTATTGATGAAGGGCTGAATGATGCGATTAACAGTGTGCTACTGATATCGACGTTCTATGAGTCAGTTAATAGCTTGACTTGACCTGAAACTGACCCAATCTAGTTTGAGTAGGTCGCTTTGTGGAATATCTTTCTGATATAGGCGGAATTTCCTTTTTGCTTGCGTATCAAACAGGTGGTCATGCAGTCTATTATATTATCATAAGGGTTTAGGATAATTCATAAACGGAAGGGCGTAACATGGTTTAGATATTTATAGGAAAAAATGTATTTTACCTCGCAGCTAATTATACCGTCAGGGGGAAAATAAAGTAAGATAGGCTCTGTAACGGTCAGATTTAGCATTAACCTAGAGGTTGTTTTATCACGGTTTAGTATATCTAAGCGGGGTTCAGTTATACTAGGTAAACTATACCAGGGTTAAACACCGGTTGGCATTTCAGTGCCCCAACAGCTCCTAACTTTTGACTTTCGTTGGCAGGACGTGCAGTGGCGATTCCACTAGGTGCACCAATAACACGAGAAATCTATAGATAAATTAAGAACTTTAGGTAGGTAGTTTTCAATGTTGAGTCATAATAAGCTATTGACTCAACACCCTCTGTATTAGCGGTACTATATCAGGTGCTGAATCCAGAAAGCCCTTCAGGTTACCTAACAGACACTGCGCTCTTTCTGTTGTTAGGTATGCCTGTCTTTTCTACCTTTTCGTATACCTGGGACCTATGTGGCTTTGAGTTCCTCGCATAACAACTTCGTTGTTTCTATGCTTCTTGTTCCGCCTCGTAATATATTGAAAGTTACTTGTAGACATATGCACATCGATCTAGGTAGGTACCTAATGTGAAAATGGGCCATATGGTGCGTGTGATCAAGCGCCTGGAAGAAGTGATATAAATAAGTTTGAACTTCGCTGTGCGTACAACTGCCTTGGTCAGATCAAACAAGAAACAAGCAAAATAACGTCGTGTTAGGAAACCCCTTGCAGTATCTTTCGCGCCTAAGGTTCCTTCCAAGTATCTCTTCTCTTGGTCTGATCTAGACCTTTACCACGCACGGCAAAGCGAGGCTATCGTGACTTATCTTAGAGAATTTACCCAGTATACCTAGGTAGTTCAGTCCTCTTCGGTTCGCCTGTAACGCAATCTAGCACTCGCCTGAACCTAGGACAACAAAAGTAAAAATATCAGTTGCTACTCGGATCTGACGGCCCAAGCACGGCCTCCCGACAGGCCTATATCTTGATAGTTGTGATAATCCGCTGTCGTTAAGAGGGCAGAACTTAATAATATTTGGCGAGGGAGGCCGAGTGTGGCCTCGGGGTACTAGGAATAATATTTCTACCGTACTAACGGCACATACGGAATTGAGAGGAATTGAGAAGAATTGAAGCTATTATCGATCGAACTCCCCCATAGCAGTGTACGCCTCGGAAACGGTGTCTAAAATAGCCATTTAGCCTCCTACGCCACATTCTCCAAGTGAAGTGCAGTAGTGCACATGTACGATACTTGCCTTATATTGAAAACACTCTGATTTGAGTTCTGGAGCTAACCTCTTAAAGTCGTCAGAAAATGTGATTGGCTCGAATAATGAGGGACTTTCCTTTAAGAGTAAGTCAAAGTCCGTAGCTGAGTTGTGATTGGCCAAAAGCTAAACTCCCTGTAGTTTATTAGGAACGCATTAAAATACCTGTGGATGGCCTGTCCTGTCCCTGTGTCACCCGTATAGTCGCTATCGTGATAGTAACTTCTTAACTGAATTATTCCATGGTATTAATTTGGGCAATAAAATTAAACACCGATGCATCTGAAGCAGTGGAACCTACCTAGGTACCTTACAATATCTCTTGAATAACTCTTTCCTTTTATCAAGGAAATTAATCGTAAATGGAAGTAATGTTCGGGGTTGTCATCGAGTGCCAAGACGCCAGACACATGCATCTGCCATCCAGGCACTCCCTACGCCAAATTCCCACTAACAGCCGTCTTACAGCATTCTTCGCCCTGTTTCCAACCTTTCTCTATCTCTAGAACCAAATCTTACGCACATACGAGGTAAGGTCTAGGTACCCCGCAGACAAGTGTTTAAGATAGAGAAGTTATAGTTGTGCAAATATCGCCATACTCTGATTCGCGTAACATTTTGCGCTGTAGAACTTGCTGTGTACCCCGGCGTCCGCGGCGCCAGCCGAGATACCGCCTTGAGCGAAAGCCAGGTCTAGAAAAAGAATCTCACCTCTTGTGCGACCAGCCCATTTCGCGCCTTGTCGAATAGCAGCCGGATCCAGCGTCGCACAGCTCAAGTATTGGCGCCTTGGGAGTGGCCGGGCTCCCGTCAAATGTCTCAGCGAGAAAAACGCTTTCATCCCTCGCGCGGCTAAACGCCGACGGATCGAATATATAGACGGGGTCGTACATCAAGCTCCAAAACGTACATACGTTAGCTCCGAATCCAGTATTCGTGCGAAGAAAGGCAAGCTTGTACAACGTAACCCCCCTATCTGTGCTTACCTGTGCGTGTTACTGGCGGGACGGGTGCTTTATCAATGATGACCGCAGTCGTAGCGATGATCGAAGGAGGATATCATATCATGTATGGGGGAGTAGAATATGTGCTGGTGTAGATGGTCTCGATATCGATACATGCTTTTTCCCTGCTCCGAGGTGTGCACCTGTCTTTCCGGAGCTGCAGCTCGCCACTCAGACAGGGCCGGGACCCGAGCTATACCTAGATTTATAGCACTTCGTGCCACAGTATTCGCCGTAATGTCTCGCTGCTTATCTGGGACATGTAGTATTGACGCGTGTTGATGGGATGGAAGGTCGCATGAGTAATGTGTCGAGGTCGACCTATTTGTATTTCTGGTTGCCCGCATCCGAGGGGGGTGTTAAGACGCTGAGGATCTCGCTCCCTTTCTCTCTCTGCATATCGACCTAGCAGCACAGTTAAAATACACAAAATATGGCTCGTATCACGGACGACGAAGAGAAGAATGTACCACAAGTTGTGGGAATCGAGGTTGATACTTCCAGCCAAGAGACTCCGATACGTGTACAGAAGACAGGTTTCCTAGCTAAGCTGCGAAGCTATGAGGAAGCACTTGATCGTAAGCTAGGGGTTGAATCACATAGCATCGAACGCAAACTTCCCGGCAATAGGAACCCCTTTTATGCTCGATGGTCGGGCCAGTTGGTTAGTGTCCCCGAGTTTAGATGCTGGACGCGAACAGCAGAGGAACATATCAGAATGTTGATCCGATTCTAGGCTATAGTGAGCTTCTGGGTAGGCGGTTGCATGAACCTTGGCACCTTCGCGACCGGCTTCATAGGATGGGAGCTGGGTCTAGACCTCCGGCAAAGCATCTTGGTCATCATATTTGGCTCTGTCGCGGGTGGCGTAATCACAGTGAGTATCTTCTCCATAACGAGCTCGACAAATTCTAACGCCTAGTAGAGTTGGTGTGCAACAATGGGACCACCGACAGGCCTTCGTCAAGTCTCGATCTGCCGATATTCCCTCGGTTGGTACCCGTCCAAAGTCATCGCGATATTCAATGTTATCCAGGAGATCGGGTGGTGTGCCTCCGGGTCAATCACGGGAGGACAAGCACTTTCCGCATTTTCAGATGGCAAGGTTGGTTCCCAACTTGGCGTCGTTATAGTCAGTATAATGAGCTTGATATTCTCATTCTTTGGCTTGAAAGCGGTGTATACATTTGAGAAGTTCGCTTGGCTTGTATTCCTCGCTATCTTCTTAATCATCCTCGCGGAAATCGGTAGATTTGGGGACCTCAGCGCTCCACCGTCGACTCGTGGAGCTTCGAACTCCGGAGCGGCATTGACATTTTTCAGCGTCATGTACGGCTCCAGTGCATGTTGTGCAGGTGCGTGAATTTTTCCTAGCGCAATTAATATGAGTTCTATGAGAGATATACATGAACAGTTACTAAATACCCCTTATGGTAGGTTATGTATCAGACTTCTATGTCGAATATCCAGCGACAATCGCAAAGACGTCGATATTCTTGCTGACCTTTTGTGGTCTTTGTAAGTTTGATCCTTAAAGCTCTTGGGCTAATCAATACTCATCATTGCTAACCCGTATTAGTCGGTTCTACTTGTCTCAGTGCTGCAGCTGGGGCCATTGCTGCGTCTGCCTTACACAATAACCAAGAATGGAACGAACAATACGAGGTCGGCGTTGGGTTCTTGATTCAGACCATGATATATCCATATGGACTAGCAAAAGCGATTCTTTTCCTGCTGATGTTCGCGGCCGTCGGCTTGAATTGTGGATCGATGTATAGTGCAGGCCTTTCGATTCAGCAGGCCTCTCACAGCTTGGCTGCAGTGCCGAGGTTCGTTTGGGAAATTATCTGTTTTGCTGCAGTCGTCGCTTTGGGCCTGGCTGGTAGCGATCGGCTTCTGGTGTTTATACAGAATTTCCTCAGTTTATTGGGTTACTATGCTACCGCCGTCTTCGTCTGCTTGGTTACTGAACACTATTTATTTCGCCGCGGCTCATTCAAAAACTATAACTTGGATGATTGGAACAATCGCAGTATGCTACCGGTTGGATATGCCGGGGGTCTTGCTTTCGCATGCGGGATAAGTGGAGGTAACGTGTTTCGCTTACTCTATTCGATGGCAACTTGTTACTAACTCTACTCGTAACTAGCTATTATAGGTATGTCTACAACGTGGTACACCGGCGTTGCTGCAAGACTGATCGGCGACGCTGGCGGTGATATCGGAAACGAGCTTTGTCTCTTTTTAACTCTTGTTGTATATATCCCGGCTCGGTTCGCGGAAAGGAAATTTGCGAACAAGTGAATATGTGGAAGATCAGATACTAACTTGGCAAGGGGCAAATGCCCCTTTCGTCGGATAACATCATGTATGTATGTCCACATATGTACAATTGTCCGGTTTGATGCTGGTCTTGCATAGGATCTCGATAATACTCCGTCAGGGGCGCCTCCGCCGCCTGCCAAGAAAAATCGCCTACACTAAGCCAGCTAACCATACTGTCTTATGGCGTGGAATATTCTCCGACGAATACGGACATTTTTCGGAGAGGGAGATATACGTCTATAAGAGGGTTGTATTTTCTACGTATACGAAACCCATGTCTAGGTTGTAGCTGAACCACATCTCGGGGAAGTAATAAAGGGGATCAAGATCCCTGGGCTGGACTTACCTAGGTATATGTGATTATTTTATTCGCGAAATATAATATGATGTTGTTAAGCATGCTGCTTAGTAACTTCATCGATCATGACGTGCATATGCCAAGATGTAATTCCCATACCTAGTCCGACTTAGAAGCGAGCCGCATTAATGTATAAGGTTTGAATGTGGCTTTGCAGGCCGTTTACTTGGCTAGCTTGGAGCATACAAGGTCGAGTAAGCACCTAAGCACGCCGAGAGTAGGATAGTGATGGTAGAAATAGTGTAAAACATGCACCGGTGGGGGATGTGGGATTTCAAGTAATTCCAGCTGGACATTTCGCCACAGGACAAGCTAAGATGTGATTTCCACCAAATAGGAGGTTCAATTTCGCAGCCTTAGATAACTCACCGCAACTCCGTTTCAGGAACAGCCAATGAAGAGAGCAAACATCTCGGGGACAAGCCTTGCACGGATGCAAGTTTCGGGCTGGGAAAGAATTGGTAGCATTTCGTTCGCAATGACGTGGATACATAACCCCCCCCCAAAATCTGTGCCGTAACTTGGATGTGTATTGTTACCACGTAACTCACTCATGTGGCGTGCTATTCAAATTAAGATATGCAACTTCTGAGCTTTTGTCACCACTGAGAAGCGTCATCTCCAATAGGCAACCCTCGATGGACGTGATAGTCCTAGACGGAAAGACTAATGAGATACTGTCTCATCGAAGTCCGGAGTGATGAAGCACTACTCCGTCATTCTCGTGGATGGGGATTCGTCCCACGAGCTACCTGTGGGTGGAAAGGGGGAGCTTCTGTTAGTCTTGTAAGCTTTGTCAGATTGCGGATGGTGTATTGCACCGCAATGGCGCATATTCGAAGGACTATGGACGCGGGGGTCGCGAGCTAATAATAAAACTGTGTGATTCTGGTGTACATAGCAAAGACAAAAATACGCTCGAAACTTGAAAGTAAATGATGAGACCGAGCCATCATCCCGCATCAGTGGGCGGTGTGTATGCAAGCCGGCGCTAGGCAACGGCCCGCTGTGATTTGTGTGATTTGAGAGACTACCTACTTACACTAGTAAGAGTAAGCCTTAAGGTTTTCAGGTTTAGTTTGATAGTCTAACGTCAGAAATATTGAATGGTAACAAACAGGATAATTTGGTAGAAAATGGTGGCCCGTCTGGGCGCTGCAATGACCCCTATTTGCTAGGTGAGAGATGATTTATTTCTTCTCTCACAGAAATATCGTCGGTCCTAGCTTAGGTAGGGCTCGGGCTGGAGAAAAAGGCAATACCTAGCCGAGCTTACTGTTCGTCGTTGCGATTCCTTATGCTTCCATCCGAATTCCTCAACCGTGTGCCGGCGAGTCTCAGTGGTGGTTTTCAGTGGTGGTTTGGGAGGTTTCGTTCTTTTAATTTCGTAACAAAATTTGATTAATCTTGCTCAATGCAACAGCAGAGACTGTAAATTGATATGGCTATGGGCTACTTCAATATCCTAAAGTAGGTTATCCGTGGGGAGAAATGCGAGAATGCTGATCAATGATCGACGCCCAGGCTGGGTTAGGTAGGTAACGTTAACTGGACTTGAGGGGGGACGGAGAGGGACAAGACTTGATTGAGAAGAGAATCCATCAATAGGGCGGACGGGACGGCGGGAGACAGAAAGGGGGAGAGTGGAGTGGAAAATGGCAGTTGTGTAGTTGCGCAGTTCCAGGTTGTGCTTAGGTTTCGACCAGCGCGGGACAAAGCTGGGGGATATCCACTTTATAAATCCACTTTTACTAGACCCATCCCTACCATTGATAGGCCCTTGTCTCCCACATGGCTTAGGCTAGGTACATGGCCGCCCCCTCCCACCCAAAATTTAAGAGAGGAAGGAGAGGAAGGAGAGGGAAAGAAATTAAGAGATTGGAAAACGTCGCAAGCTTGCTTGGCTTATGGCAGCCCCCTTCTTCTGAAGCTTCCATTCCACCGCCTGAATTCTTCTACCCCACATGGACTCCACCTATCCACTCGATTTAAGCCCGGGCAGCCCGGGGAAGACGGAACGAGCCAATCATTTCCAGTCTTGAGACATGCGCTCCCCAAATAAATTCTTACGAGCCTTTCTTACAAGCCTTTCATCAATGTGAGGCACGAAGCAAATTTCCCAGCAACCACCAAACTTCGGTCTATCTGGGTGCCGGATTGGTTAGTTAGGTATCATTTCGCACAAATCTACGTCGTACACATAACTGTGTAGTTGTTACATAACCTGTACGGCTACCTATGTACGAAGGACATCTTTTCAAAGTCCTTTAAGCTCCTAAGCTCCTAAGTTGGGAATTTGGGAATTTGGGAATTTGTTTGTCTAACCACACGCTTGCACAAAATATACCGACGGATACGAGGACGTATCCAATATTACTCATTCTTATAAATATTTATTCGCCTGGCAAATTCCACATCGACCTCCCATTTCATGCTTGCCTGGATTTATTTGATACTTGTCTCGACCCCGTGTATTCCCGACGTCTTCTAAACAGGGCACCGAAGCACACGACACCTCGAGAGTGTCCGGAAACGTGACTTGAAGCGCCTGCGGGTTATTTGCCTATTACGGGGCCTCTGTTGAAGTACTCAAAGGAGACATAGAGAATAAAAGCTGGGCACTCGGGGGATGAATTAATTGTTACTCCTTATGTACACGTGTACAGACGGACAACTGGCGGCACTTATTCTTTTTCTTTCTTTTCGTTTCAGCCCTGAACGGCTTATTAAAATTATATCCTAGGTTGCTTGGGTTGCCTAGGGATGCCATATTCCGAAGCTTCGGTGTGTAGCGCCCAAAGGGGTGTTAGCACGTAACGCCCCCCCAAAGATCCGTCATCCGCAAGGTCCTAAACCTTTTATTAGATAGACTCCGTGAAATCTCGCCCCGAATCGATCCTGATGGATCACATAGCTACATTTGGTAGCCGAGCATTGGCCAACCGTTGACATGGACTCGCTTCGATGCGCTACGTGTACGGATTTTACTCTTACGATGCCTCCGGGGAAGGGCTTACATTAATCAAAAATACCGTAGGAGGAGTCTTACTATGACTCGTTGCCACGTAAGGTAAAGAGTACAAGTGCAAAAATATATACGATCTTACCCCGAAGGCCTTGAGAATTCTTAGGAAACGTAAGGCTTAGGCTACGATGCCACCACGATACTACCCATCCCATCATTCCTACCGAGGTTGCCTAGCTTTCCTAGCTTGGATCGATGGCGTGCCAACTCATTCCGGTATGTACATAGTAGCTGCAATAGCTACAAAATAGCAACCGTACATAATAAATGCCTATGTAAGAGAGGCGCCGAAAACATATGATGCTGCATGTTGTGGGTTTAAGTACCTCTACAATTTTCTACATGCCTGCTCGGGGATCTGAATACCCCTGTCTCTATTCCCCATACTTTTCTGTCGTACCCGGTACGTACACTACTTAAATAGGTAAGTCCCTTCGTGCATAGTGTCGTCTTGTCCCAAGACATCTCAATGCAATGTACTATGTATCAACGAACGTCGAACGGTGCTTGGGTGACGGGTCCCCGGAATGATTAAATCTGGGGTTAGAATATGACCACAACTTGTTTGTGGATGTGTGCGTATGAGTACATGCTACCATATTAATGTATGTGCGTTATGTACCCTTTTCCCTTAGGTTCTTTTCCCCAGGTCTTAATTTATTAGATTATCATGCCCATTTGGTTTGCCGGGGAAATAAATCATTAATGTATCATTAATGTGCGCTTCTCCTTTCGTCTCGTCTCAGGTTCAAAGTTTCCTGTGGCTTAATAAATACCTGCGACTTTACCTGCAACTATCTGCAACTATCTGCAACTGCTTGCGACCCTTTTAAATGTTTCCCACGACCATAACGTAGCCCTTTCCCACATCCAATATATTTCACGTCAACGTTGAATTGCAATTACAACTATACCTTATACATTAGTTATACCCCCGAGTGCGACATCTAATCTGTCCATACTATCCCATTCTATCTCCATACGCATCTTCCCCATCTGCCCAGACTTTCCGCTCCTCATTCTTCAACCTGCCGACCTCGTCCACTTGCCTAACCGAGGAGTTCACATCCACCGGCCGCCAATTTGGCTTCGGGATCTGACGTCTTGGACGATATTGCACCAACAGTGTCAACTTTGTTGTTATCAGCCGTCCATTCATCCCCCTCGGCATCAGCTTTGCTAAGACTCCTACCTCCTATTTCTCGCGTGGGGTGACCGCCGCAATCAGGACGCAATTAGGAACAAGACTTATTATTGGTGTGTGTGAGTGTGTGAGTGTGTGAGTGTGTGACTTACACACGCATATCCACCGCTCTTTCCGTTGCCTCCTGTTACTTGATTACTTGATTACCTACTCTTTAATCATAAACCTTCTGTCTTCGCGCCTTCTCTACTTCTATATCTATTCAACTTGTCCTACCTCCCAACTCGGTTACTTTCAACCTGCATATATCTCCGTCAAAACTTTACCTCCCAACAACTTTTCTATTTGACGCCACTCTGCCACACTTCCCACCGTCCCTATCAAAAATCCTCAACATACAACGAGCTCGCCAAGTACCTACTCCGAAAACATAAACTATTTGCTCTTGGAGTAGAACATTCAGAACCTTGTCGTCTTCCTTTCCAAGTCTGAACATTAGAACGTGAGTCATCACATAGCTGTAGCGACCCTCGTAACTCGGCAGAGATACTTACTACTGCCTTAGAAGAATCTTTCAAGATGCCTGGCCAGATCGCCGCACCCATCCCAGTTACGCCACCGCGTAAGAATATCCGTCACAACTCTTCCACAGACTTGTTCGCCAGCCTAAATGCCACTCTTGCTTCTACGGAGAGTAAGCGACTTACCCCTATCCGCTCTATTCAAGAACGAGACTGGGATGTGCCGGCTCCCCCGCCGCCTAGTCCGGTCAGCTTCCATCCAGATCACTGGCAGCGTACTCTACGTCATTGATTGACAACTTGAGTACGGTCGTTGCCGCACCACGTACATGAGAGATGTTCGCCATCGCCATGTATTGTCTTTATGCGTCTGTATGGGTAGCGGGGTTCCTGGTTTGTCATTTGGGAGTTTACGGATGTGAAATAGTAAGGGCATAAGGGACGCAAGATAATCGGTCTACACAAAAGTCAGGGCATGGCGTGTGCTTTCGAAAGGGAAGGAAAAGGGATGGCTGCATTCATGGCTTCGCTCCGTGGTTGAGACGGCCTCGACACTTTAGTCCGGGATCGATTCAACACTTTCGTTCACTGGCGCCATATCACCACTTCCAATCTTGGTTTGGTTTGGCCTTCCCCTAATAAGGGAGAGTACCAAGTCGGTACGATAATTGATATCACTTTGGTACAATTCGAGTAATGGCCTCCGGCTATGAGTCAGGAGTTAATGAGATTGTAGCTAGGGAAAACAATCCAAGTAGTCGGAAGTCTAGTTTCCGTAACTAATTCGAGATGTTGCTAATATACCTACGAAAGAATAATGTGACTACCTAGGTTAGGCGACCTTGAGCGAGATCAATACGGACTGCCGAATTTTAGACCCCAAAAGGTTAACAACAGTAGTAATTGTGTGCTTGGAGAACAATATACACAGACATTCTCCAAAAGAAACAAACAAGAAGTAAAGCACTGTACGTCCCATTTTTCCCTCGGCTATGAAATTTCGAGGATTGGGTGTGGTGTTCTCTTCAAAGTCTTGGCGTCATAACCATTTCCCCAATCGGACTAGCCCGGTCCCACCTATTAACGCGGTCCGTAAATATTTTGCGCGACGCGTCTTACTCAGTAGATTTTCGCGTCTTTTGATTGCATGTGGGTCGCGATTTGGCGTATTGGGTCTCCTGTCTCATAATATCTATCCTTGCCTGCAATTGACAGCTGCATAATGGTTTCCTTTCTTCAAACTTTTCCGTGATTGCAATTTCAGACTCAACCTTTCCGTGTTCTATACTGTTTTTACTTTCTGAAGCCGTAGAAAGAACTAATACTTCATCGTCTATCTGCAATTACACCTTCCGAAAAGAAAGTAAATAATTATATATTTTACCATGGCCGGTCCTGCTGTCAAACAGCAACGCCGGAAGGCATCCACAAAGTCCAAGGTCGCCATCCCCAAGCACAATGCACCATCAAGCATTAGCACCTTCGCCCGTGTTTCGAAGTCGGTAAATAGTGTTGATATAAAGAATGAGGTCGCTCCCGTTTCTACGCCAAAGAAGGATGTCAACATCGAGGCGCTCACGCCCGCTTCCCGAAAGAGAAAAGTCGTCGCAAGTATTGAGGACGACTCCTCAGCTCCTGCCATCAAGATACAAAAGACTGTATCCCAACCTGCGAAATGTGGCCGTGGCCGTGGTCGTCCCTCGAAAAAGGCTCCCCCTAAACCTGCACAACCCGAACCTACGCGCCTTGAGCCTATACTCCCTAAACCTGTACTGAAAAAACGCGCAAGGAGCCCTAGCGTTTCTGATTCAGACGAGTCGACCATCAACACCGGTGTGCTACTCAAGAGACTCCGCCTAGAGTCATCACCATCACGCAGTTCCACTCCATTTTCAGTTTACACGCCTATTACCGAACCTGATATTGACGAGAGCGAATTCATCACATCAAGAACTGGGCTTCCCGATGAGGTCCTAGATCTTATTGATCTGCACTCTTCACTACTAAAGGCCTTGACATTACACTACGCGCACAATGGATCCAATGTTCCTGCAGACTTGCGTATTTTATGTCCCGATGTCTCGCGTGCATGGGGCAGAAGGAAGGTCACTGAAGCGGATATACAAACCTGCCTCGGAATCCTGAATTTCGAAATGGGAGATGGCAAACCATTATTTTCCCTCTCGAACTACGGTCGAAGCAAGATTTGCATTGAGATTGACTCGGCACAACATGGTTCCGGCCGTCCGCTAGACGAGAACAGACTAAACGATATATTCCGCGAAAAAATATCTACTCTCTGGACTCGTTTCACAGCAGCTAAATGTTCCGATGTCTCAGCTTTCTGCACCGCGCTTCCCAAGGCTGCTATCACACTCTGCGAATCCGTCGCCAAGGCCGCACCCGTATTATCCAAAGGCCAGAAGCGACTCGAGGAGCTAAAACACGGCATTGCGATCAAGAAGCAGGAGAAGGAGGCTAAGGCCAAGCCGCAACAATCCAATGATGTACAAATGTCGAACGCGGAAGCCCCTAAAATGAACCTGCTAGACCGCATCCGTCTGAAGTCCCTCCAGAAGTCATCGCTCCTCGCCAGCAACCTCTCACCCGCACAGCTGCAGCGCCGTGCAGCGCTACAGCGTGCACCTGAAGTTGCTGGTATGCTGGGTATGCTAAGCCGCGCAGCTGGCCAGGGCAGCCGTGTGTCGTTCACTATGGCAGTGACGCTGGAGAAGCTCAAGGATTCGTTGCGGATGGGTGTTTCGCGCGAAGAAGGTGCTGCGTGTGTACGTCTATTGGCAAACGAGGTAGCCCCGGAATGGATCCGCGTTGTGGTCATTGGAGGACGGGAAAACGTAGTCTTGGAGACGGATAGACAGCCTAGCAAGGTGGACGTGGAGGGACGGATTCGAGGATTACTGGAGCGGTCGTGAAGTAGAGAAAGGGCTAAAGGGCAGAGGGTGGAAAGGGGGTGAATGTATAATGTGTCCTGAATGGATGGACTTTCTAGGCAAGCGAAGTGTCGTTTGGCTTTGTTTTATCATTGCATTGCATTGCATAGCATCGCGTTGCATAGTCAGGCCGCAGTTTGGCCTGCGCTCTTCCTGTTGCTTGAAGATACCTCGTCTAGATTGACGAATGGGCAATACTACGTTGTCCTCAGCTTTAATAGCACAAGACTCAATCACGAGTCCAATAAATACATCAAAGTCTCAAGATAAAATATTTTTAGTGGTTTTTTTTATAGGGTTGTGAAATGCGTGATAGCGACTCTAGATGTCTATGTTTGCGTCTACTAAATCAATGCACGAGGCCGACCGATCGACCCTTTGCACTAGAAGCCGAGCCGCGCAATGCTATGCAATTGTACGGCTAAAGGGGGAGATGCATCTCGTCATCTCGGAAACCCCCTCGCCTCGTCTAAGGTAACTAATTCATCATGCAGCCGCCACTCCGGACACAACCATCCCGTCAGATGGGTGCCTCCCTTGCGATCATCAGTTCGCTTCGATTCATTATCATCGGCCTGTATTTTCAGGCCTATCTGCTACTATATGTTGATCGCTCATTTCTTCTCCTTGGGCTTGAACTTGGGCTCGCCGATGCCGGAGCCGCGGAGCTTGACGTTGAGGACGCGCTCCATAGAGGAGAGGATCTTCTGGTCGGGAATGGCGGTACCACGCTCGAAGTCGGCGATGACGGAGGGCGTCGTGTTGCACTTGGTGGCTAGGTCCTTCTGGGTCATCTTGGGCTCTATCTTCTGCCGCGTCTGGCTGATGACGTCGCCGACCTCCTTGCCCACCGTGTTCGGCTTGATGATGTCGTCGCTGCGGTCGACCTTCGTCAGGCGTTGGCCTTCGGGCCCTTTGCCTACCTGTTGCGGTTTGCGTTAGCGCTGGTTGGGGGGTTGGGGGATGAGGTCATAGAGGGAGAGGAGGGGAGGGGGGGGGAGTGAATAACTTACAGCATTGCCGGTAGAGAACTTCTTCTCGGTCGCGATGGCGCCACCGGCGCGCTTGGCGGCGTTCAGCGCGGAGCTGCCTCGCACGACGGTCTCCCGCTGCGATGCTCCGCGAGACTTGCTGCCGATCTTGGTGACCGAGTCCCACTCGTCAGACATCGTGAAGAGAGTAATTGGTTTGGCGGGGGGGGTGAGAGTTAAAAATTAGGGTTGCCGAAATCGACAATTGGAATAGTTTCTTAAAAAGGTACGGATTTGATATGTTATAAATAGCTTCGTGGGCTGTTGTATGGAGAACTTGTGAGTTGAAAAAGGTTAGAATGTAATGCGCTCGTGAGAGATGTTAATATAGATGTCCTTTTCTAAGAGCCGTGGAAGGCGAAGGAATGGTGGTAGAAGTGGGTCTGAAGGCGGAGCCTCCGCTGACTCAACGGAGTTGTTTTTTTTTTTGGCGGGGAGGCAACCTTTGTGGGCCCAGCGGCCTGATACCCCTAACACCGACGTCTGTTACGACGCAGGATCATCGTTGCAAAGCCACACTAAGAGGCTGAATTTTCTTGAAGGGGTGAATAGGTACCTTGGCAGATACCTAGGACACATGTAAAGCGCGACAAATCGTCAAACAATTCAATTGACACACTACTAAGGAACAGTTCGAATTCGATTCTTACTAACATCCTAAGCCAAACAATGTAACTGTTCATAGTGTTTTACGGATTCGCTCCATGTCAACTCGAACGGCGAACAGTCATACCTGCTGAGATAAGATATGAGATAAGATATGAGATAAGATATGAGATAAGATAAATGATGTGGCTGTTACATGTCTCAGGTTCTTCCCGATGTCCCTAACCGCTTGCATGAATACTTCTGTTTCTCGATCATGTAGTCTTCCAGCAGTTCATTACACAAAAGTATAAACCTAATAATCTCATTCGTTCAAAAGGTACCTATAATCTGGTAATTTCGGGTGATAACAGGAGTTCGCATCAGACGTGTTGCTTTATTTAGATCAGCATTTTAAAGCTCTTCCGTGAACACCACACCACTCCCGAGATGCTCGTATATGGCGTTATTCTACGTATTGTCGCATTATTCTATTATCTTCTTTTTGGACGCGTTGGAGATGTAGTGCTCCTTTCTAGCTCATTCCTCTGGGTCAGAGGTTCTGTGATCTTTGACCTCTTGAAGATTAACTATGGCCTGGTATGTCTAGGGGCGATAGCAGTGGCTACAACCACTTTCACTTATCTCATATACGTACAACGTCGTAGTCCAGATGTACGGTTATCTGTACCATGGAACGGTCCAGGGCGGCCTTTGCTGTTCCCTTGTCGGACTACGCATACCAGATTATTTCCCAAGAAGCACACCTTCTCTTATTCGTATCTCCTTGTTGGGATACCCGTCGGTTGGACAGGTGTCGCAGGCGGCATGATATCAAATGACGAGTATAGCACGGGAGTTGGGGGTTGGTACAAGGTTGATGCTTCGGGTTACCTGGATAGGGGAAACGGACATCTCGGGTTAAGGGGCAAGCTGGACACCTACCTCGAATCCCAAGTGCGGCATCCCTTTGTCTACTGCATAGAATCTAGAGCTAATGCGATATAGGACATTGATACCTCAAAATATCCATATGCGTATCTGGTAACTGCTGCAAAATTCATGGGTTATCATTTCAACCCCGTTTCCTTTTGGTATCTTTATTCTGCCGATAAGCACCTGGCAGCAGTAATCCTTGAAGTTAACAACACGTTCGACGAGAAACGGATGTACTTCTTAGCGGCAGATAACACGATAGAATCAATAGGGCCACCTGGTGATAATTCCTTAGGGCCACCTGGTGATAATTCCTTAGAAGAAGTCGCATCGACTCGGAAATCTAATGGCTCGGAGCCCTTGAAACGAACTTGGCCAAAAGACTTCCACGTATCCCCCTTTAACTCTAGAAAGGGTGCATACTCGCTTGTAGCGCACGACCCTCTGTCCCCAAATATGGATGGGCAAGGTCCGATTAATAATACGATAAATCTAATGTCTTCCAAGAACTACGCGAAACTAGTTGCTCGTATCTTCTCAGAAGGCGATGCCATCGATCCTACTAGGATGACTTCCCTTCAGAAACTCAAGTTCTTGGCTTCATGGTGGTGGGTTGGCTTCGTCACTTTTCCTAGGATCGTGAAAGAAGCTACAGCCCTATTCTTTCAAAGGAAGCTCCATGTGTGGTATCGACCAGAGCCGCTCAAAACAAGCATTGGTCGACATGCCAACAAGATAGAATCACAACTCGAGCCTTTATTTAGGAGGTACCTGAAACATTTGGTTGAACAATCATCCGAACTGCTAGTTGTGCGATATATACCCTGTGGCGTTACAGACGCGCCTATTGAGACTATGATATCAACATTAGCGAAAGAGAGCTCCGATCGTACTGAGAGGATGGAGTTCAAAGTCTTGACGCCCGCATTTTATTCGAGGTTCGTATACTACGCTCACGATTTCGAAGCTATATTTTGTGAGCTGAGCGAGAGTAATACGATATGGGTGTCAAATCCTAAACTGTTGCCAAAGCTATTCGTGAAGAAACAACCACCGTCTCTATTCCAAACAACAAGTTATTTGGACTATGGTTATTTTACGGCTATCAAAAAGCTGAGGCAGAGACCCGAGCGAATTGAACGACCACTGACCTCGAGTCAGATCTGCTCAACTACCCAGTCTCAAAAGGATATTAGAGGTTTCCGACTTTCATCCATGGATGGATATGTTTTAGCCCATGAGGATGATAAATCCCGACGAGTATACAGGAACTCTGTTTTGACGTTGTTCATGGCTGATAGAATAGCCATGGGTAGCGTGGACATCCTCCAGCTTGAACATTGGGTCCTCAGATTGTTATTAGCCTGGACTGTAATTTCATAATAAATCTTGGGATATCCACCGTTAGCGTCCAAGGGGAAATGTCAAATATAAATTCAATTCATCCCATACCTAGGTTTTCCACATAGGCGTGGAGTAGGACATTCGGCAAATTCCGTCGAAATAGAGTCGCAGTGTCGGAGGTGACTGGTGATGATCCTCGGAGGATTTTCAGATCTGTTACATATCGTTCGGCTTGTACAACCTGCAAGCTTCAATGCGGCGCTCGGTAGAAGAACGATTATTGAGACACGAAGTTATTCCAAATAAAAAGAGCCAGTCAGCATCAGCACATCCACTCCGGGAGCTAGTCAAGCACTTTGTATGTACATATCAAAGTTGGTGGCTTCGAGCAGCGGAGCTCGGACTGGGATGTTTGACAAATACTTGACTGCTTAGTTAGTTTGATATGCCACAACAATGATTTCGATGGTTGATTCGGCTCTAGTAACTATTGCTTTTTCATGAGAAATAAGCCCAATCGCAATGCGGTAAAACTGCCGGGAACATTGCAACCTACGTTGATGTTCTATGTAATTCAAGTTGTCACCGCCATGTACTCGTACGTTCTACGCGATCTATTCTCTATTAGTCTATCATGTAAGTGTACCTAGTACCTACAGCTAGATGAGAGATCCACCTCCCACTCCGTTAGGGCTGCAAGGAATCAGATTCCGTGCTACGTCAACTGGGTTCCTGACGTAGACTAGCAGCAATAAGACGCATAACCCCGCCAATAATCCCTTAACCTACATAGAGGCTAGAGCTATCAACCCCGCTGCGAAGGAAAAGCTCTTCGACGAAGACGAGTACTTAGTAACTGTAAGGATCTTTTGAACGTAAGAATGATAACAGAAGGGAAAGGATGCAGGTCTGATCCGCCAATCCGATAGCAATGACAGTTTACTCCGAAGCTAGGCCCCTAGGGGAGCTCTCGCCCCAAGTTGAATCAGCCAAGCTATGTCATAGTATCAACATTGTTTGTGTCACCGGGTTCTCCACGGATACTAAGGCCATCTACCCATATATAAAGGTATCCCGTCCCTCGTTTAGTTTCATTCCAAGTCTGTCTTATTATACAATCATATTCTAAGATACTACGGGCTTAAACAAGTTTATCTGTTATAATACACTAAACAATATATATACAATATATATTAACATTACAAACCACAATGGGTCTATCGGGTCACTGCCTCTGCGGCTCCGTAAAGTACACCGTCGATGCGGACCCCCTCATCGTCGGGTACGACCACTGCGACGACTGCCAAAGACAGACGGGCTCTACCTACTGTACGTCCATACTACACCATATCATATCATGCTACAGTGCCTTCCACCCCCCAAATCGTCCCCAAATCGTCCCCATGATCTTTCTTAGCCGTGACCTTAGCCGTGACCCCGCCAATCGCATTCACCGGAACAGATCCGCTGATCTACCATAACAATAGCACTCGTGGTAGTTGTCCCCAAGGACAAGCTAACCATCAACGGCACAACCAAAAGCTACGCAAAGGCGGGCTCGTCCGGAAAGCCCGTGCACCGTATCTTCTGCCCCGAGTGCGGGTCTCCTATCGCGCACGACCCGGAGGCGGCACCCCCGATCATCGCTCTCAAGGGCGGCACTCTGAGCGATGCTGATAAGAAGGCATTGAAACCCGTAAGTTCACTCCTACGACCCTAGCTAGCTGTCTGTCTATATATTCGCGTATAGATGAAGAAGGCTGACATACGCCCGCAATTACTAGGACACCGAGATCTGGACCGTCGGCAAGCTGCCCTTCTGCGCGGAACACCTTGCTAAGCCGTTCGAGCACATGCCTGAGTAAAGGATTGATGAAGCTTTGATGGGTCATTCTGTGCCGTACGAATCAAAATATATAGGTAGTCATGGATGTAGAAAATGAGACATGATAATATGATCGATTAAAATGAACTTTCGAAATTCCATGCCTGTACCTATTGGAGAACTATAGCAATGTCAGGTGTTTTTTCTTTTCTTTCCGCATTGACTTATTTCCCTACTTGAAGGTTTACTTACGGTAACACATTACTAGAAGGTCTGCTACGGTATACTTAATAAATCACAAACCATCTAAGCCCCATCCACCTCACCGATATTCAGCCACGTACACGGCATCCGACACGATGGACTGACGTCGGAATAGGCGTGCCCGCACATGGCCGTGCCGTCCCCGGATTGAGCTAACGCAGGTACATTCGCCTTTCCTTACGGGAATCAAGACCCGACAATCACTTTGCCGGATCCGCGACTCGTTTAGGCCTAGGTAGGCGTGTCCGGGGATAGGCAGGTGGTGTGATTGGCCAAAGGGGAAATGCTGGCCAGCAGGGTGTCCATCAAGGTAGGTAGGTATGGAGTCCCATTAAGCAGAGGGAGAGGAGACGAGTCTGGTTTCGGTCGTTACAGTACCTAATATACGCGTAGATTGCGCCATTGGGCTAAGGTGGGCTTGGCCGGGTTTAAATATATTGCCTTGAGGCTTGAGCACGCTTCTTAGGTAAGACGTGTTCTGCTCTCATTGCCAATGTTCCTTTTTGATGAGTAGATAGATAGATGGATTTTATATTGCGTAGGTATATATGTTTATTATATATTACATGATCAGCGTGTATATTGCGAACTCTCTTATAAGACAGCCACTAGCGCACCGCCTACTGCTGCTACGAAGATCACACCCTTTCCGTTCACGGGCGCTCCCTGGATCGCTATGCACGGCGCTGGGTCCGTCTGGTCGGGAGCCTTGGCGGAAGAGCACACCGACGTGATGTAGTCGCTATCGCTATCGCTGGCGGCTTGAAGTACATTAGCGGGTGTGTTCGCGAGGACGTGTTGCGCGCCAAGGAGGAATAGCTGGGTAGCAACTGGTGCTGAGAACTTCATCTTGGATGCTGTATCTTGGTCGGTTATAGTTCTGATGACTAGATCGAGATGGCTTATTTTTGGCAAGCTTCCTTGTTCTTATCATTTATCGACCTCTTCGTGTATCTGCTCGTCTCTTTTCCTTGCCTGTGCGCATCCGAACGGTTGGGAAGGAGTAAGCAACTCCCACGCAAACGCGAAGCTGCGAGATTTTAAGCGACGCAGCATCGTAGGACTATATGCATAGGAGCTTGCCTTAAAACTTCCAATATATCGTCTGATTTGAGCTTCTGTCTCCGGCGGCACAGCTTCGCGTCTAGACCCGGCGATTTGATGAGGTCCTTACCTACATACATACGTCCTAATTTGGTATGTATTTTCGTCATCACACGGCGGGATTACCCGCCTACCCGACCGCAGATTTATGTCATAATGCCGTGTGCAGAACCGAATTTCCAAGCTCTTTAAAATAAATGCTGTACCAAGGGCGTACCTATTCCGTAGACGGTCTGTGTCCGTATATTTGATCGAGGGGAAAAAATGCGAGCGATAGTTTCATCCGAGGAGGTGTATATAAGCGTAGAACTTATACTATAAGGTTGCTGCGGTATGATCGGTTCGGCCCTCCAAAACTTTAAGCATTGAAACTCAATAATTAACGGCTTTTCGTAACTATACCGCGGCCACAGTAGGGTAGTGGTTGATATACTGTGAGTCTGTATGAGAAGTTCCGTTAGCACCATCCCATAATTTATCTTGCTGTTAAATGATAAGGATTACGATAGGCGTATAATGTAATAAAGGTTTTAAAATTTAAATTAAAATTATTTACCAATTAATTATTTGTTATATTATATATAAAGGAACTTTAAGTTTTTTATAAATTTAAAAAAAAATAAACGTTAATAATATTAAAAATTATATATATATTATAAATAATTTATTAATTAATTATTTATTTTTTTATAATAATTATATATTAAAAATTATTTATAATAAATTAACGTTTTTTTTTTAATTTATAAATTAATAAATGTAAAATAAAAGAAATTTTATTAAAAAAATAAAATAAAAATAATAAAAAATAAAAAAACAATTAAATAATAATTAATAAATAATAATTAAATAACAAATGTAATAAAAATTTTAAATTTTAATATAATAAAAAAGTTAATATTTAAATTTTAATTAAATATTAAATTAAAAATAATAATATAAAATTAAAAAATATAATAAAAACGAAAATATTTAAAAATTTTAAAAGTAAAAATGAAACCAGATTTTTATTTAATTAAAAAAAAAATAAACAATAGCGAAAAAAATAAATAACAATTATAATAAAAAAGTTATTTTTAAATTAATTTTTTAATTTTAAAAAATAAAAAAAAAAATAAAAATGATTTAATAATATTTTTTATAAATTTAAAAAAAAGGTTTATATTATTAATAAATAATTTTTTAATAAATAAAAAAATATATAATTTATTAATTTATATAAAGTTATATATATTATATTAAATTAAAAAAAAAGGTTTAATACGTTTTTAAAACGGTATAAATTAATAAAAGCAAAAAATTTAAACAATTTAATAAATAATTTTTAAGTTATAAATTTATTAATTAAAATAATATTAATATTATAATTAAAAATAATAAAAAAAAATTTATTTATTATTAAAATAAAATTAATTAAAAAAATTAAAAAAATTAAATTAATATTTAAAAATTTAATTATAAATATAAATTAAAAAAAATAAAAACGTTTTTAAAAATTTTAAATTTATAAAGTTTAAAAAATTAACCGGTTATATTTAAAAAAAAAAAAAATTTTCCGATAAATTAAAAAAAAATTTATTTCGATTTATTTTAAATGTTATAAAATAAATTATTATATTATTAATTATTTAAATTTAATATATTATTAATATAAAAGAAAAAAGTATTTTATAAAATAATATTAAAAAATTTATAATAAGGTTTTAATATTTAATATTAATATTTTTTTTATTAAAAAAAAATAAATATAAAAAGGTTTAATTTTATAAATTTATTTTAAAGTTATAATTAAATTTTAATTAAATAAAGTTTAAATATATTATAAAAAGTTTATTAATTTTATAAATAACGTAAATATATTAAAAAAAAGATTATTTTTTTTAAAAGAAAAAAAATAAAAAAATTATAAAAAATTATAAATTTTTAAAAAAATTATATAAATAAAAAAATAAAAAATAATATTAATAAAAATAAAAAATAATATAAATATTTAATAAATAATTTATAATAAATTTAAATTAATTAAAAAAATATTAAATAAAAAATATAAAATAATATTAAATATTTTTTAAAATATTAAAATAAATTTAAATATGGATTAAAAAAATAAACGTTAAAAATATTATTTAAAAAATAAAAATTTATATTTAATAATAACGAAAAAAGAAATATATAAAATAATAAAAGAATTAATAATAATAATAATTATTGTTATAATAAAAGTAAAATTTTAAAAAATTAAAAAAAAAAAATTATTAAATATTTAAAAAATATAAAAAATATATTAATATTTTTGATATAAAATTTTTTAATATATTAATAATATATTATAAAATAAAATATTTAATTAATTTAAAATTAAAAGTAAAAATCTTTTAAAGATTTATTTACGCATTATTTAAAATAAAATAAAAAATATTTTAAAATTATATTAATTAATTATTAAAAAAAAAGTAAATTAAATTTTTAAAAAATTTAATAAAAATATTAATATTTTTTACGTTAAAATTAAAAAATAAATTATAATTTTATATTAATTATTAAATTTTAAAAAAAATAAAAAAAAAAGATAAAATAATATTATTATTTATAAATAAAATATTAAATTATTTAAAAAAATAAAAGTAATAATTAAATTTAATTTAAAAAATATATATTATTAAATATATATTTATAAAAAAATAAATAAAACATAATATTTAAAATAAAATATAATTATTTTAAATATTTAATATTATTATTTAATTTTATTAATACATTAATTATGTTTTAAAATTATATAAATTATATATTAATTGGTTTAATAAATATAATATGTATTATTTATTTAAATAATATATTAATTTATTTAAAAAAAAATTTATTATTAATAAATTTATAATATTTTTAATAAATTATAATAATAAAAATTTTATATAAGTTTTAAAAAATATATATTTAATATAATTTAAGTTACGTTTTTAAAATTTATAATTAACGTTAAAAAAAATTTTATAAATAAAGTTAAAATTAATATTATTATTAAATAATTAATGTTTAATAATGTAAAAAATATTTAAATATATTTAAAATTTATAAATTTTTATAAAAAGTTTATTAAAAAATATTTAAAAATAATTATTTTATTAATTAATTTATTATAATAAAATAAATTAAAATAGTTTTTATTATAAAATAATAATTTATTAATTTTTAAAAAATTTTAATATTTATTTATTTATATATTATTATTTAAATATTTTAATTTATAATAAATTATTAAAATAAAAATAAACGTTTTATAAAATGTAATAAAGGTAATTTTTACGTAATTATATAAAAATATATAATATTTAATAATTTTTTTATTATATAAATTAAAAAAAATAAAATTATATTATTTAACTTTTAATATAAAATTAATAATAATATTATATATTTTTAAATAATAAAAATATTATTTAATTTATATTTTATAAAAAATAATAATATTAATAAATTATTTAAATTATTAATATTTAATAATTAAAAAAAAACCAAGTATTAAATAAATTTATTAATTAAAATAATTATTTAATTTTAATTTTAAAATTAAATATTAAGTAAAATATTTAAATTTAATAAATAAATTATTAAAACGTTTAAATTATTAAAATTTAATTATAAAATTAAAAATAAAGTATAATATTTAAATATAATTTATATTTTATTTTAATAATAAAGTTAAAAAAAATATAATAAAAAAAGTTTTAAAATTATTGTTAAAACGTAATAAAATAAAAAGTAACGGTAATTATTATATAATATTAATAAGTAATATAATAATAATCTTTCCGAAGGAATATTGCGCTTAAACTTTTTTAATTGATAAGGTAATTGATAAGGTAATTGATAAGTAAATGATAAGGTAATTACGTAAAAAATACGCGGTAATTGCGCGTTCGCGCTCCGCGCGCGCGCGCCTTCGGAAAGATATCACGTGCGCGCTTGCGCGCACGTAAAAACGGCCCGCGAGCTTGCGAGCGGCCGTTTTGATAAAATTTTATATTAAATGGAATTTATTAATGGAAATATAAGTAAAAAGTTTTTATGTAAAATAATTATAATAACGTAATAATAAAATGAATTTATTATTGCGGAAAAATGAAAAAAGATTTTTTAAATTAACAAATTAATTATGTAAAAAACAAATAATTAAAATATATTAAAATATAAAAATAAAATATATATATTTTAAAATTTATAAAAAAAATTATTATATAATTATTATAATATATTTATTATAAAATATTTAAAATTTTTTAAAATAATTTAATAATTAATTAAATATTATTTTTAATAAAATTTATAAAAAAATATAAAATATTATATTAAATTATATATTATTTATTAATATATAAAAATAAAATATTATTTTTTTATCATAAATTTTATTTATTATTTATTTTAATTAATTTAATAAAATAATTATTAATAAATTTTATAATAAAATTATTTAAATTATTAATTAAAAATAAAAAATATTATAATAATATTTTAATTATAATAAATAAATATTTAAAATATTTTATATATATTTTAATAATTAAAAATTTAATAATATTAAAATTAATAAATTTATTTTTTTAAAAAATATTTTTAAAATTAAAATTATTAAAAAATATTATATTAAATAAAGGTTTATTATTTATAAATAAAATTTAAATTATTTTATATTATTAATTTTATATTAAAAAAAAATTAAATATTATATTTTATTTATAAAT